TACTGATTGATAAAAAGGGATGAAAGCATGAGAAAATTCTGATTCCTCATCTAATGCAGCACCAAAATTGCTACATAAAGGTTAAAAGCAATCAATGAGTCATCTCTCTGAGACCAGAAGGAAGAGCCATGCATGAGGCCTGAGTGTGAGAAAGATATACCTATGGGTGAGAAAAACATGTTTACCAAAAGGATCACGAGATGCATAGATACCACGCAGGAGCACCTGTTGGCACACAGAAATTGCACAGCTACGTCCTTGAAAGCTGGTCAAGTGTGCACCTGCCAGCATTACTGCTGCACAGAACCTGGCCTCCAAAGGTATCTTGCAAATGATTATGTGACCATGGGGAACACAAGGCCCATAAGATTTTAATGTTAAACATATCAGCCATTTCATAGCAATTGAATCAAAGTGTACCAGTGTGACAGCAAGCGTGGGGCTGCTCTATGAGGGGAAAAAGGCTGAGAAAGGGTCAAAACATGGGCATTGCAAGGTGAACGGGGCCGTGGCAGTAGTGGTTCCTGCCAAGGAACCTCATGTGAGGTTCTGAGCAAATTCTACACAAAATGTAAATTCTTCTAATTTGAAACCATTGTATCATCATGACATAAGTAAAGCAGTATATATTTCAAGAAACAGCCAACCTGTGTTGTTGATTATACTGTTCCACCATTCACCATCCTTTTTGTTCCTGCAGTTGTACTTCTTCAGGTAGTAATAGTTCTTTCATACAGTATCTTCTTTGGTAAGAAATCTTGAAGCATCTTCAAAATATAACCTTCCTAAAGTAGGAAAGCACGAGATAGTCATGTAAAATAATTTAAATCACAGCTGAAGTTATATGTTTAGTCAGAATTATGTCAAAAGTAGAGAACACACCAGTGTAAATGTGGAATGAATGATAAAATCAATTTATCAGAATATTGTGCAGTAAAAAATGGGCATTCAAAGCAAAATGATGCAATTCTCTTATGCTATGGACAGATTTCTGAGATTTCAGAAAACATGAAGGGCTGATGGACTGGAAGGAAGATGACTAGCAATATTTAGCTGCACATTTAATTCTGAAAAATATTTTATTATTTTTACTTCTAAGTTTTATTATATTTGACTTCATTGCTATTATATAATAGGAAGGCTTCCAGCACTTTGCAAAGAAATAGTAATTGCTACTATTTATTGTAATCTCATTCTATAATTTTATGCTTTATGATGGATATGAAGAACAGAAAACTGTATATAGCTGAACAAAAATTTAGTATTATCATGCTCAGTGACTCAGTTAGGACCTGCTTTTCTTTTTAGCAAAAGGAACAGTCATTCATAATGCTGGGCACTAGAATTGTTCCTCTCATTTCTTCGGAAATACACTTTGTACTGCAAAAATAATTGACACTATTCCTTGCAGTTAGAAAGATTCTTTTAAGGATTCAAAAATATTCTGTAAGTACTAATTAATTACTTACTTTCTGTGCTAAATAGTATGCTGGCAAGGCTACTAAATTAAACAGATTTGATAGGAAGCATACGTTGATAGAAAACATAAATCAATGTCTTCTACTAGCATTCTATCAAATTGCAATGGCAGGCAGACATCAATAAGAAAAGATCACAAAAATCGAGTCTTGGGGGTGTCTTGGGGGTAATACCAATTCTGTTTCATATATAGTAAGGATCTAAATCCTTATTTAGAATTTGAGTAAGATCAGCCGATGAAACTATCACAAAATTTTCTGTTAGTAAAGGAAGAGCATAACAAATCAATTAAGAATAAATATTAGGTGATAACAAATATCTGAAGCTAGTAAAAAATGATAGAAAAAGTGTCCAGGCTCACTTTTTCTACAGTTTCAGAAATATTAATATGAAACATGGAAATGGAATATCATTCTTTACAAAAGCTGGTATGAAAAGTTGGTCTGAACACCCCCAGGCTGAGCCTCTCCCCTCGTAAGGATTCTCCTTCTTATCCATGATCTCCCTGAAATTAGGTCTGTCTTCATGAGTATGTTCAGTGCACAGTAAGGCAAGGTTAGCAGGATTAAGAATTCAGTGCTTTTTCTGTACGGTCTGAGAGGAGAGCCAAAATACCATGCAATGGTCTCCTATCTCCATACACAAAAACAATGCAGAGCCAAACTGATGGCTAACATATGCCTTAGATACCAATGAGAAACACACAGTGGCAAAGAAGGAAGGATTTTGATGCATAAAAATGTTGCTTGGGAACTCTCTGAACATAGCTCGTATATTTAGATAACACTTGGCAATTAGAATTTCACAAATGTTCCTTTCCACTGCTGTCAAAGTCCTACATGGTCCTGAGCAGGGGTCTCAAGTGAACTATAATCATTAAGTTGTCCATAGGAGACAAGTTGTCACTATACCAGAATATTAATGGTCTTTATGTAAGCAAATAACTTGGAGGTTGTTGAGAATCCCAAGGAAAAAGATTACAAAGGATTTCTGTGTATTGTTGGGTTCTACTGAATTGCCATGCAGTTTATCCTATGACAAAGTGCCAAACACTTCATTTATTTGCACAGTTTCTGCTAGATTTGAGATTGGATAAGATGAATTTAAGGAATCTTTCCATTACACCAAACATCCACCTAGGAAGTAATTGTTCTGTGAGAAAGCACAAAATTTTGTGCTATTTTGTGCTTCTGCTGTTAAAACAGGTATTAGCATTTTCTTGCCTCAGGCACATTCTTGTATTCCAAAAAATGTATCCTTTGTTTCTAAAGGACTATGACACTACACAAAGACTACAAGTCTGTGCTACAGAGGACTGTCCTACACAGGACTACTTTAAGTAAATCAAATAATAAAGTATGCAAATAATTTTCTCCCCACATATCTTCACCTTCAGATCTGAGAATTCCAATTAGTGTTTCATCCTCAGTGCATAATCAGGTACAATTCCTTATACAATATACACCATGAGCAGGAGCTTTTTAAAACACTATGCAGGAGGAGATTTAATTTAGAATGACTCATTTTGTCTGAGTGACTAATTTAGTAATAGGGAACAAAAAAAAAATTCTCAGACGTTCTGAGATTTCCAAGAAGGAAATAAAACTCTAAAACATTAAAGGAAAGGTATTTTCTGCAGAAGAAAGATAATTTGCCAAGAGTGGATGATTTATTCCTCATCAAGGAAGTATCACACATTATCAGCTTTAATATTTATGATCCCATTTGTAGACCAGCTCCCTATTCAATTTGGGCAATAAATGGACCATTGAAAATAAGTTCTTCATCTGACACCATTTCAAATAAAAACCTGGATAAAGCCAGCCCCTGACTTTTGTATTTATGCTGCTGCATCTCTTCAAGCTGCCTCTTTCACTCTGCTTGATTTTATTGCACTGCACAGTTTTGTTTCCACATCTGAAAATGACTTAGAAAACTTTCCGTTCTAAACCTTCACTCCTGACATTTCAGTTCCTATACTTCTGGAAATCATGTTCCAAGATTGGTCCTTCATTTACCTTATTTTAATATACCCTTTCTCCTTAAAAAATGAGGTCTCTTAAGCTGACAAAAAAGATGAAATAACACATTAAAAATAAATAAATAAAACAAGCAAAAACAAGCTATCAAAGGTGTGTTAGAATTACAGAATGATTTTTACAACCTTTGTCCCTAGTTTAAATCAAACAACTGTATAATTCTTCCAAAGACTCCTTAAGCCCTCTAGATTTTACAGGAAAAATAAAATATAATGAATTGAGACTTAGGAATAAAGCATGGGACGAGAAATTAACTACTCTGACTTCACACTAGTCAATTATTTAGAAGCAGTTTTTCTAGAACCACAGGCTTACGTGAAAATCTTACCTTCTATTAGCAAGGGTTCTAGTTTTTAAAGACATACAGAAAATGTTTGAAATCCTCTGTACCCTGAAGGTATGGAAGATTCAAAGACAAGAGGTTACCAGAGGATGATTCATTAATGTTAAAAGACTGACAGTGCAGAAATATTAAATTAAAATTCAGAGTTGAATTATATGTGCTACGGTCAGAGGAAGTGTGAGGAAATGAGGAATCCAGGGTAACAGTTCGAATTAGGTACAAATCTCAGTACTAAGAACAGTTCAAATACCCTTTTTTTCTGCAAGATACTCAAACTCAAAAGTTCTTATGGATCACATAGCATGCCATTTACGTCAAAAGTCTTTCCCTGGAAGGTGTTAATTTAGAAACAAAAACACAATCTAAAGACCAGAACCCATACTAAATGCTACTGCAAGACTATTCCTAGAGGGACTTTGCAAAAGCAATGCTAATATCAGAATATAATGGGCAAAACTTTTTCTTTTATATTATGCAGCTACATAACGAGGAAACTGGTATTTTCTATAGAAATGTGAGAGGGATATTACATATGAAATCAGTATACTAGCTTGTAAGAATTCTCAAAACACAGAAATAATTAACAGAAAATTACATTTCTTCAGATCCAAGTAATTCAACTTGAAGGCAGACCTCCAGAAGCTTATTTTAATCTGACCATTAAAAAAGCACCTCATCAAGAATCAAGGTTAGTTTAAGTTTCAGCCTCTTGAAGCTACATAAAATTAATGCAAGTGGTAACATTTTTTAGAAAAGCAGTATGCAAACAGTGAAATTCTAAAAATGTGAATTGTTGCCTGAAGCTGAGAGAATCTATGAAGCAGACTGAAAACAAGGTAATCAACTTATCCAAGCAATTTCATTTCAATTTTCCCCTCCCCCCAGTGAAACCTCTACTACATCTTTTGTATTTCGACTTTGCTCCTTGCATAGAATTTCTAATACAACTTCCTCCTAACCTACCGCAGTAGGTATTTCAACGAATGAATGTGAAATGATTTGCAGGACAAAGAGCTTCAGGTATGACTACCATAATCAGTCAGGAGTCTGGTCAAATGGAGCCAGGCGGACTAGGCGTCCAAAGCAGCAGTAAAATTAGTGGAATTTTATAAGAAGCATTTTGATAATGGTTTTTCCTTACCAAAACAGGGTAAAAACTAAACATCAGTCTCCAGCTGGTCCAGATAGGTAACACTTTCAGTCACCTTTTCATGTTGGAAATTTGTTCTGGGTAAAACAAAGCAAAACACACAAAATTTTACTCCAATTAAGGAAAACCAACATACCACAGAAAAGATATTTTTAACATGTCTATAGGCATTTACATAATTTCCTAATTTTACTGAAAGCAAAAGATTTTATAAGGACATACTGCACTTCTTTTATCTGTAAAACAGATAAATCCCAAAGCCTGTGCAGTCTAAATACATGAGAAGAAACAACATAAAGATATTGCCAGTGGAATACAGAAGAATGGCTTTCTGAAATAACAAAACAAATAACAATTAGGAAAACAAGAGTTATTTAAAACAAGATTCATTTAGTGAATCTCAATCGCATTTAATAACTGTTCAAAAGAGAAATTAATGTAATTTAGTCAACTGAAAGGAATTTTTAAGTTAATGTTCTATAGTGGACAGGTCCGTGTTTAAGCTAAGAAAGAGTTTCCAATAACTCAAGTTTGGCTAATGAGGTTTGCACTGATTTGAAAAATTCACCTATAAGTTTCCTGGTTATTTGAGATTCTTTAAAACAATATACTGAAACTAGCTAAATTCGTAATGAAGTGCTCAATCCTGCAAACGCATGCCCATGCAATTTACAGCCTGCAGCATTATAGCCTCTATTAACTTTCTGGTCTAGTCTGCATTCTAAGAGTATTTATGCAACATTCTTACTAAACTAACAGAATCATCCCACAGGATCTGCTCCTGTGCTCAATATCTGGACTAGGGGATCAATGACTGCAGGAATGTTGAAGAAAATTTTGCTTTCAAGAAGAAAAAGCCATCTTTTGATAAAGATGCAAATATCTACTAGATGTTAGAGTTGTTAACAGTATATGTGGCTGTTGTTGCTTTCGCATTCGAGTCTCTAATATTGGAAGCAACAGAAAAAGGTTTCTAATCTCTTTTTGTCTCTGTGTTCAATCAAAGCCTACATTTACATTACAAGGTTGTAACATGCACTCATGCAGTCTTCTTTACTTACCAGACTACCAGATATATCAGGAAAAGTCATCTCTACCATGCAAACCGTGAGATTCAAGGAAACCTAGGGAATTTCAAGTTTTTAATAGAGCTATAAAGCTAGATGTGCTGCAACTGCTATAACTTGCTAGAACTGTGCAGATAGCAGATCTTTCCTGAACCTTTTGGGGACTCTTTAAGAGCATTTCATGTCAAATGTTTATTGCTAAGATTTGTGTTAACCCAGCAGTGTTCATGATAGCTTCCTTGGAAAATTCATCTGTGGCTTGTTGCCCAGGCAGGTTAAATCACTAATGCTGCTTGTTTCATAGCCAAAAGGCATTCATTTCTGGTACAAGTAGGCTCCAGAAGAGATACATGGATGATTTACCAGATAAAATTACACATTATGAGTACTGCACTGACAAGTATACATAAAAAAGAACTCACAGACATTCCGTGAAGAAAGAGAAGAGCTAAATTCAAAAATAAATTATTCCTTGTTAATTTTTTTTTTTACCAAGGCCAGTTGCTCCATTACTGGCCCATCAGTGCCCTATCAAATTATTAAATTGCCATCATTTACTTTATTCACCACATTGGCAGTGCACCAGTGAGCAATACTATGCATAAAAATAAAGCTAGTCAAAAACACACTAGGTCTTACAGTCAGAATCTCAGCAGTTTAGCAGTATTACTGAAGTGTTATATGCCTGTTGTTAACAACTGCTTTTTTGTTGTTCTGGGATTTGACCTGAAAGCAAATAAAAGGACTTGTCATTTTACTGCAGCTTCTAATTAACAAATGAACAGAAAAACCTTAAGTTAGCCTGCAGTTGCCTGGCAGTGCCACACCAGAGACGCCAGACTCCCACAAGGCGCCCCTTGTCACTTCAATCAAAGGTAACATTGTCACAGCTAGTGATGCTTCATTAGGTAAAACCAGATGTAGGGAACAACTAGTTTTTTTACAAGATAATAAAAATACAGTATGCGACCTAAAGGTTCTGAAGGCCACAGAATCTCTTTTTTTGACATCAAACCCTTTACCAAATTAAAACCTCTCCTTGACGGAATAATTAGGATGGCAGCTGTTACCGGACTCCGCACAACACTGTAATCTGCAGAGCAAAAAGAAAAACTTTCTAAGTGTGAAGTATAAAATAACATCTGCATTTGGAATTTTCCTTTTAAAATGTTCCACAGGAGAAGTGACATGAGAACCTAGACAATGTATAAAGTTGTCATGCCTTGCTTTCCCACCAGAAGTACTCTATATACTTTTGTACAATCTGTCCAACCCAACCCTGTTGGGTCCAACCCAACTTCCAGTCTTATATGAAGCTCAATAAAAAATTGGTATTACTTGTCAGTTGTTCATTCTTTAGGAGCTTTCAAGGCAACTTGCTCATGTACAAAACATTCTAATACTTTCCTTCTGATTTCCTGGCAACAGAATCATCCCTGGACAGAAAAACTGCACTGGTGATTTCAGGACCATTGCTGTGTAAGATGACAAAGTCTGTCTTCTCTCCCACTAAAAACATCTCTTCTAAAGAGATAAAAAGTAAAGCATAAAGTAGAAATATTAGGATCATCAGACAGATAATAATAAAGTGAAAATATTAAACAAGAAATCCACAGACAGCTCTGAAGAATTAGCTTACCACTGGTAAGAGTCTGTCACATGGACTTTAATTCCTTGGATTGTCAAAATAAAGTTTCCAGAAAATAAAAAAGAACTAGCTGTAGCAGCAACTCCAAAAAAGCATGTTTGGTAGAGAAAAGCTATTGTCAATGCACACAAAGAAAGTTCTTTCCTTTGGGGGAAGATGTGGCCTATGCTTTGAAAATACTGAAAACACTAGTTTTGAGTACATCATGTTTTGACAGTAATTCTGTTTCCAGTAAATTAATTATTCTCTGAAGAAAACAGAAGAGCCCTATTACTAAAAGCAGAGCTTAATTATTACATTTTTCAGTACTTGTGAAATGCTTATATCCAAAATACACAGCATTGGATGTTTAAATGTTTTTACTTAAACATTTAAAGTGAAGTATATCCTTTTTATTACCTTTGGTAGTTGCTTAAAAATACAATAAAGCCATAATCCTATTGGGATGGCCTGTAACTAGCACAAGATATGTGCTTAAGAACTTTACTGCATGTCAGGTCCAGCAAAGGAAACTTGATCTGACACTACGGTGAGCCCTTCTTCTCTTCCTCATACACATACACAGCATTTGGCTCACTAATGATGCAAAAACAAACCTCACACTCTCCATTTTCCTCTCACTTTGATACGTGCTTTGTTGTTAGCCCTCCTAAAAATCTGTACTGTGTAATACAGACCAGCAAACCCACAGAGAAAATGCTATAAATCATTGATATTATTACATATGCTGGGAATATGACTTCCATTTTCATGCTTATTTCCTCCTGCCCTGGAGAATGAAACTTAGGAAATAAAGGAGCTCAAAATTGTATGGATTTTTTTTTTACAACAGCTCTTTAGTTAAAATATATATTTCAAATATTATATATGCAAATGTATTAATATGTATCACTACATATTTATATCACTGTGTTTTTGAGAACAACTATGTTTCTGACAGCTTGTCTACCATGCAGCTACTAACATAATTTGTATCATCTGGCAGCAAAGCTTACTCATTTCTGACCTCTTCCTGGCTTCCTGTAGTAACATTTAATTCCAAGAGTTTGCTATATTCTGAATGTGGACAACATGACTTACATACTGGACATGCTTGAGGGTCACCACCTGTTCTCTGTTCCCCTATTCCCTGGAACACCAAGACAGTGAATTTCTTCAAAAGAATTGAGAAAAAAAAAATCGTTAACTCATTTTTTAATTTAGCCTAATGAACACAGCTTCCAACTAAGCAATTGCAGTTGTTTTTTGATTACTATTTATTGAAAATATTAATGGAGTTAAGCACATCACAATGTTTAAAAAATGACTGACAGTTGTACAGAAACTACTTAAAAAGAAATGACATTCCGTATCTATAAACCTCTCCTCTCCACCTTAACCCACGTGAGCCCATCTTTCTTATTTCTATCGTGGAACTCTCCGGAGGAAGATGGAAAATGATGTTGCTGTGTGATCACTCTGCTTCTAGAACAGGGAAAGAAAAAAAACTTATTTTCACAAGCATTATCTTGTGTTTCTGCAGCTTTAGACAGTATGCCTTCTATTTTCACTTTGTTTTCAATCCAAGCATCAGCTGCGAGAGTGGGTTTCATTTGGAGTACAGCTCATGAATATTTCTTTTCATACTAAAACCAAATTCAAATCAGTGCTCATCCCTGCCCTGGCTGCTATGAAACTAAAGAGCCCTACATAATGATCAATCAGGCCAAAAGCCCTGAAACAAAACAAACAAACAAAAATATTATACTGGTATTACAGTAAAGTTTGCCATAATGATAACCTTGTATGTCTTATGCTTGAAAATTAAACCAGCTTTCAGTAATATGTGGTTTCATTGCTGAATGCTGCTCTTTGTTTTCAATGTCTTTTCCAAGCATTATTTCATAGAATCATAGAATGCCGAAGGTTGGAAGGGACCTCAGAGGTCATCGAGTCCAACCCCCCTGCTCAGGCAGGGTCACCTAGAGCACGTGGCACAGGGCTGCATCCAAGCGGGTTTTAAACATCTCCAAAGAAGGAGACTCCACAACCTCTCTGGGCAGCCTGTTCCAGGGCTCTGGCACCCTCACTGTTAAGAAATGTTTCCTTAAATTCCTGTGGAACTTTGGAAAAGAAGCCTAGGTAACTAAAACTACTTTGACTTTGTAAACTGTTTTGACATGTCATATACAAGAGTTTTTTCCCCTTTCAATCTACAAATACTATTGTTTATAGAGCATTTATTTCTTGAAATCTGTAGTCCACTGTGATTGACATGTAAAAGAAACACCTCTCTCCAGCTACAACTCTGCACTTCGACTGAGCACCTATATTACTTCAAAACTCCCAGTTGTAAAGTCATGGAAACATGAATTCCACAATATTAATGTACTTATTGAATAAAAGGTATTTGCTTGGCTTTGTACAAGGGAAAAAGGCAAATCTTCCTCCACGTCTTTCTCCTCCATTATTTCAGTAGCAAGCTCAGAGATAATTTGGCTAACACCTATTAAGACTAATAGGTGTTAGAGTTAAGTTTTATTAAAATAACAGACCTGAAAATACAATGTTCCTAAGTAGTACTCACAAGTGGTCTTACTCAAAACAGTTTTCACATCCATGTGGTACATTATGATGTACTGTTTATTGCACCAGTGTGCAATGAGCATCACAGATCAGCAATCTGAGCCTCTTAGGAAAAACAAGATGGCTTCACATTTCTCATGGTCACTGCAGATTTCTTCTCAGGCCACTGTTTCTTCCAGTTCAGGTCATAAGAAGATATTTACACCATTTAGCACCAGACAGGTTATTCAGCTAGCAAGTTTCTTAAAATCCCCTTTACAGTTTAGAGAGCAGTTCAGGGTGAAAACTCTCTCTACCTCTACCAACAGTACAGCAGCTCAGAGACATTGTAATGTAAATACTACATAGTGTATTTACATTACAGTAATCAGCAAAATGATGGTGCAACCCTTCTCCACCCCTTATTTTCCCTGTTGCCCACTGGGCATAGAGAGGCAATGTGAAGGAGTGCAACTAGTCATACATTAAATTTTAAAAGAATCTAAGCATATAGAGGCAATTTTAATTTAAGGCTTTTCAAATATGAAATCGTTTGTATTCTGCACTTTTCAAAGCATTTTATCTTTGGTAGAAGTTGTTCTATCTTTCTCAGATCACTAAAGACAAAAAGGTGTAGGAAGTTGCTCAGTAAGAAACAGAAGAAATCCCTGATAACAAACAACAGATGAGATAACAAAGCCTGTGAAGCTCAGCAGTAATTTAGCATCATTCCTATATTATACATGTAACATACCTCGACCTTGCCAAATACGGTATCAATTCTTTTGTGAAGTCACAAGCATGTATACATACAAACAAACATAATTCTGAATCTGCAGTCACACTTTTTTTTCCCAATTGGCATGAAGATGTAAGCAGTAGCATACAAGAAAATAAAATGAAGCACTGTTAACAGGTTTCCCTCAAGGTTCTAAGATGATCAGTAAATTGAAAAGTTCTAATTAACCAAATACCACATCTTAGCAAGAATAAAATACAGTAGCAAATGCTATGGTATTCTTTAAAGGAAGAGGGGAAATCCGTACTCAGAAATAGCACTGTTTTTCACTCAAGCACCTTTACTTTAGATTCTCTAATATCCACTTTCTTAATATAGCTACATTTCTTTCCAACCATCTTATGTTTTTTTCTATATTCTCCAGTGCAATCTGAGATGCTCTCAGCTGTGATATCTCCTCTTTTGCAGACTGAAAAAATAACTTGACCTATTAAAGGGGAAAAAAAAGACATTTCAGTTGATAAAGTGGAGATTATAAACAAACACAATAAGCCATTTTGAAGGTGTGAGTAAAGTTATTACCACTGCAACATAATAAAGTTTGACAGGACCCACCTGGGCTAACACATGGAGAAACGGATTGTGAAGTCTCAAAACTCAACCTATGATCTTAGATAGCTTGGATTAAACAGATGAGTTTTGAAGGGATGAAATAAATGGAATTAATTCATGTTCTATGAGGGTTAGGCACGGGGCAGGGGTATATACATTATTTAAAATTTTAAGTACAGAACTCTCTCCCAAGGAGTTCATAATCCTAAGTCTATAAAGAGCTGCAGGATGATGTACTGCAGAGCACGAATAAAATGAAAACTGATCTGGTTAGACAGCACATTTTCTTTGCACAGCAATGAACCTACCACAGTCACAAGCAACCAAGAATAGGGTCTATTCTAATAGTACCTTAATAGGATACTCTCTCTGGCCAAAATGAATTTAAAATCTAAACAAGCAAGAAAGTAGAAAAAGAAATTTAACATGCAAATAGAGCAGGTGATATGACTGGCAAGTGTCAAGTCCATTTCTCAATAATTTTTGCAGTGCACGGAAGAAATTTTATTGTCCATGAAAATTCTAAAGTGCAAATCAAAAAATGAAAGAGAAATTTAGGAGAGAATAGACACTAAAGGAAGAGATAAAGTGAACGGCCTGATAAGGACAGGTACAGAATGATACTAAGGGGGGAAAAAATGAGGAGGAAGACTATGTAAGCACACAGGTAAATTGATAGGCAAGTATAGACAAAGCTAGAGAAATTTCTCCACGTTTCAGACTTGTTCCATTGACTTGAGCCTTTAGGTGGGTTTGCTAAGAGATGTGCTTCTGTTTTCCTCCTGCTACAACTGTCTGACCCAAATGCTCATTTATACTCGGACAAACCTCTTGCAGTTCCTGTTTTGAAGAAAAGTACGATGTTGTTCCAACTATAATGGTTCTAATTGAGAAGGATCCCAAGGGAAATCTGAAGGAAAAATGAAAAATTAAGGGTCATAAAGTTTATCTGCATGTAAAACGCTGAAAGCACTAAACGTCCACATGAGCTCAACCTGGTTCATACTTCTCTGGACCGCCGCACAGTTTCAGTCTGTAGGTCTCACACACCTTGCAGTATGAAAGGGTAGAAGGCAGCAGTGCTTTGCACCTGAAAGTCAGCAACGTCACTGCCATCTGGGTTTTGTGGAAAATTTGCTTAGAATTGCATGCATTCTTATTGCTGGAGTTTTTGACATCCCAGTGGGGACTGTCCTCACTTCTATCCCCCAGCCTTACAGCCCCGCTTATTTCTTTGTGTTATTGCTAGTCAGTGTGTGGTTTCACTGCAAAAAATATAAGTTTTATCTTTTCTTCCTCTGTTAGCTTTTAACCTCATTGTTGCCAATAGTGACACAAGATGCAGGAACATACAACTGGAGAGTGGATAGACAACGGTAGTCCAGCGGATCTCAAACGAGCTGTTTCAGTGTTTCAGCTCTCCATGATTTCCTGCTTTCCAAAATGTGCAGCTACCTCCCTGACCTGTTATTGCTGTTCATAACCATGGAATACTAACTTGTCTAGTAGCCTGTTCCAATTTTTCTTTACAAAGTTCCATGCAAGGAGTTGTCCAGACGGATTTGTGCTGACTGAATAAATAACTGAAGGCAAGTCTTGAATCTTGATTATATCTCCTTCCATCCCAAGTTCAAGCAGCCTATAGCACAAAAAAAAAAANAAAAAAAAAAAAAAAAAAAAAAAAAAAAAAAAAAAAAAAACACCAAAAAAAACACCACATTATAAAAGCAAGATAAGCCTTGACTATAGAATTACATTTGGAAATACATTTAAAAACATTTGGCAATACATTTTAAGACCAGACCTCTATTGTACTCTCAGCCAGGTTAGAAAAATGAAGCACTTGTTGACCATTTGCAGCTACAGAATGCATTTGTATCTAGCGTCTATTAATTCCAATTGCATATTAAGTATAGTAAGACATTTCAAGGCCTCAGAGCAGAATTTTGAACCATTCTTTCATAGCAGAACAAGCTAATTGAGACTGATTCACCAAACTTATTTACTTTCTTCTTTTATTTCTTAAACTTTCAAATTATCAAGCTGAAAGTCTGATAAATGCAACCTGTATTTTTTCTTAAATTGAGAAACTCAACTAACATCTGCTATTTTCCTTTAAAGAGATTCAACATGTCAAAATACTTTATTTCAAGCTCTTCAATCAAGCTATATCACTCCAAAAGTGTGCCAGATACTAACAAAGATCACGCACCCACTGGAAATAAGTCAGTGAGATCCATATGACCCAAGACATAGTGCAATGAGCAGCAGTGTAAGCAGGAAGTAAATAATAATTTATATGGAATGGTTCTTACCTTGTCAACTTACTAACATCTTTACTGCTTGCCAGAGCTGAGTAGATCTTTCTCTGCTCAGCACCAGATACAGACACTTTATATCTATCCAAAAGAAAATTCCAGCCAGCTGCTGTTTTGGCTCCTACAGAGTACACAGTTCCAAGGATATCAGAGGGAATGTCACTAAATAGAAAAGAAAATTTTATTTAGAGATATATTGGTATTTATTTTTTATGTCTGAAAAAAGAGTGTAAAAAATGTTGAATATAAGGCGGTATATCTTTCCTCAGTAATTATCTCACTGTAATGTACAGAAATGTCCCTCATTTTTAAATTAAATATGATTGATATTCGAGTTTTAAAATAGTCTTGCTATTAATCTAGTGTGACAAAGAGGTACTTTACAGATTTGAATTTCTTCCTTGAAATTATACAATGAATTATCCTGATCCTGCAGAAATTACATTTCTGCCCATTTTGGCACACTACTGAACTTGGTTATAACTCCCTAACACATGTAGCAAAAATAAAATTTCAACAGATGTCGGAAGAACTGCATAATCCATCCATTGATGCATACAAGAGTTATCATGTCTTTGCTTTTCCTATTGTTAGGTGCTGGAAGTTGGCAAGATATAAATCAGTAATGAAAGAAGAATCAACAAACATCTACTACATATGTTCCAAATGAAGAGGGAAAAGAAACGAACTCCACAGAAGCAGCAAGTCCTGCTCTCACAGTGGGCTATAGAGACTCCTCTTCTGTGAAGCTGCCTTGAAATTTTTAAAAAAATATATGGATGCAAGAGTCTCCCAGTCCCAGACAGCATTGTATCCTCATTCTGGGCAATCTTTCAGGGCACACTGATTCTGCTGTGTTTAGGAGAAACTTATCACACAATGAACCACATCAGAAATGGTTTCAGGGATTAGGTGAAGTCTTGTTGAAACTGTAAGAAGTATAACTATACCCCACCATATATCAGATATATAAAAGGATGGCACTACCATTTAGAAGGAACAATTAAGAAGGTAGTGATTAACATATTGTTTTATCCACTGCTTGGAATGGTGATAAAAATCACTGCCTCCTGCTATATTTTTTCCTATATTTCAGATGAACTTTGCGCGTTCTTCACAAATCATTAGTATTTCAACAAATGATTTTTGATCTATTCAGTAAAACTCCACCTCTCTTTTAGCACAAAATGCAAGATGAAAAATAATACGAGTATACAGGTAACTGAAAAAATGACGCAGGAGACAACAACTAGAATACATTACATAGTGTTGCTATATGCTAACACCTCTGCATGAGTTTTCAGCAATGTAGAAAAAGACTTGGAAACTCTAGACCTAAAAATAAGAGCTTGTATCTGGTGCCGAACTAAGAAACTGGTCTGCTAACTCATGCGGCAGAGATTTCAAAGTGTTTATGTAGGCACCTCAAATGAGGAGGAAAACCTCAAGGGACAGGGAACTATGCTTAATAAATTTATGCTTTAAATATACACATTAAAATATGGGGCTTTCTGATGATGCTTCATTTCAAGTAATAAGAACATTTCCATATACTTAATGGGAAACTGCTTTTTGCCCAAAGTCCACATTGTAAAAACAAAATCTCAGGGTAGAGTAGAAGAACCTTAAGCAAAAAGAGACTATAAGAAAAAAAAAATACTTATTTACCTTATCTTTGCACCACTTTCCATGCACTTGTTAAAAAGTTCAGTTGCCTTCTGGACACAAGGAAGATACTGCAGGTCACATGCGAGCTCTAGAAGACTGGAACGAAGCATTCTTTCAGAAACAGAGCCCTCATCACTCCAGGTCTGCTTGTCAATCACTGGTTTAAAATACTGCAAAATGTACCGCTGCAGAGAGAACATGGTAGTGTTCATTTACAAGGAATGACTTTCGCTATACTAAGACTAGTTAGGATTTCGAGTAGAATTAGTAACTGAGCTCAAAGAGCAGCATTTTATATGCAAATCATTAGATTTACTACAGATAACACATTTTCTGAAGTAGAGGGAATGTGCTATCTGTCACTACAAAGCATCAATAAAAACAAAGGCAGATTATGTTAACAAGTAAATATACAAACTAACAAATACACCTATAAAATGTTACATGGTTCTGGACTCAGATACGAACCTTTAGACTTTCTGTGAGATCAGAAATATTTCTCCTCTCCATCATGCGATAGATCACTTCCAGGCAGCCCAGGCCTTCCAGCAGTGCGATGTTACTTGTCTCGTGCTGCAGATACCGTGTTAGATCCAGGGCTCTGTTCAGTGACAATCTCCCTGCACTAAGACATAGTTTAAATAGAGTCAATGCCTTTCTAATCACACATGGAAAGAGGGTGGGGGATAGCTCTGACATTATTTGTGTTTATTTCTGGGTCTTGAATTTAAAAGAAAGATCAACTATTCATAATAGTTCTCAAAAAAAAAAAAAAAAAAAACAGAATAAATAACATTGGCTAGAGAAAAAAACAACTATCCTCATGAAAGTCTGCTTCTACAGTCTAAGATTCTTAAGACTTTGGACACTCTGAGATCACAGGGAGCATCTGGGAGACTTTCATTTAGGTTTAGGGACAGGGGAGCATCTGGGAGGCAAGACAGAAGCCTTGCTTTCATTTTAAGGGAAGAACTGGTACTACCTGACCAACTGAAAAGCATCGTGGATCAGATTTGCTCTGTCTTTGTAGTTGAAGAGGGTGTGATTCTCATTCAGTAGTTTAATTATATTGTCCCATCCACTTCCCTCATAATGTACAATGTAATAACCATTCATGTCCACATTGAATTTCACCCAGCTGACGTCTTCCTCCAATTTTATCATATCTAGGAGCCGGAAAAACATTTTTAAAACAATTAAACAGATACATTAATGGTATTTCCTAAAATGCATAAGAGCATTTATACTTCAAAAAAGTGATCTGAAACATACAGGAAGATTTCAAAGCATTCCTTTTGAAATCCTTAAAATTAGTAACAATTAAATTAGTCTGTTAAAAAGACACACATGCATACACATACATGCAGAGCTGACCTTTTAAATATTACGGGGGTTTTTTTTGTAAGTAGTCAGACAATAAAACAAATATCTTCCTGTAGTAGGACAGTAGTAGGAAATATATTACTCATCTATTTCATTAGTGTCTTTAGCTATTCACAGAAAGAAAACTGGCATAAAGAAGGGGACTTTTTTACCTCGTACAGGCTAAGTTAATACAAAATGTCACACTTAAGAAACATTAACAATGGTGTATTTGGTGATGATGCTGGTCTGTCAATATACCAGAAGAGCTATTCTGAAGCAAAACTTCCTCTTTAGAAATAGCTGACAGCACCATGTTCACAACGTGTAAAGACAGCACAAGATATTCTTGTTAGAACCTACAGGAATTCTAATTTCACATTTAGTTTAGCCTCGTTTTTTAGTTTATTCAGAACAAGTTTTACTTTCCTGGCTCAGCCACTGGATGGAAATATTATCTGTTTTTGCCAAATCCTATAAACAGAAGCAATAATGAAGGGGTAGCACATGGTAGCAGGTATCAAGATAAATTTATCTGCAACCTGAATGATTCTTCATTAAGTGTCTTCCAGTATTTTTGGAATGGCTTGTGATGTATGTCAAAGGAACATACCACAGGAACCTGAGAAGTAGAAAGGAACAAAATGAGAATGTCAATAGTTTTTTAAACATTTGAAATGTTTCTCATAAATGCCCCAATAAAGACCCTGCATTTACCCAGCTTGCATTGAGGACCACTGAGGATCTTCTGGGAAAATGCCCTTCAAAAAGCGTTCCTGTTTTATTTTGATTCTCTTCCAGTTTTGTTCAACAATAATCAATGGAAGTCCTTGCTGAACAGTCCAGGTATCCATTATCTCGGCAACATCAAAGTGTTCACTGAGGTAATAGTCATACTGAGAAAAATGCAAAACAAAACAAACATTTTTTACTCAGTTATTTCCTGTCTCTTTTCAGATGATGTTATCAGATGGCGTCAGCAATCAGGAGGAACACATTCATTTACTGAAAAATTCCAGCCATTTCCACAGCATCTAAAGAAAAACCTTGAAATACTTAGGTATATAGAGTGAGGGTAATATATGAAAACTGATGATCTTCTTTTACACTAGTAAACTACGAAAAAAAAATCCAAACCCATTACAGTAAGAATTGAATTGACATCATCTTCTTGCCTACAGTTCCAAGTCTCTTGTAATTAAAATGAAATAAAAAGATGAAGTGCAGATTTTCTGAAAAGGCTGAGGGCCCCTCAGCAAAGCTTATATATCATATATTTTCAAGCTAGATAAATGTATTTTAATCAACCTTGACCTTATCCTTAACAGTGGAGCAGCTGTTAGAAAAGATTCTTAGAGACACTTGGGCTGTTTTGCAGCAGACTAAAGAAGCAGCTATAAATTCAACTTAAAACTAAAACTGTAAAATAAAAGAGTCAGAACACAACAGAGAGAATCTTTCAAAACAAATGTTAAGAATCTATCAGTCACTGCTTCTGCTACAGGAAGGTTGGCAGCCCCACAGCCACAACAACAGGTTGTCCCCTTAAGGCTCACATGAGTTTTAAAGGGCAATGCCTTTGCAGTTAAATTGAGCCTTTTTCCTCAATGGATATGCAACTAGAGATACAGAGTCCACTTTCACACAGATACAGAACAGTTGTATAATTTTACTCCATCTTGCTAAAGTACGCTTACTTCAATGAGACAGACAGTATGAACTCTCCATTCAATATACATCAGCAATCATGACTAAACTAAAAAGAATTGCAATCTATTATCAATATACAGAAATTGCATAAAACTAAAGAAATTCATGCACTCACCACATGTTGAGCAGACTCACTTTTTCTATAACAGTATTTACCAGAAGTAAAATCCTCTTCAGAACAAGTCTGTAAAATACAGCATCAGCAAGTCATATTGAAAATATCCTTTCCTGTTTTCTTAACTTCTCATTATTCGTGCCAACCATTCTTGAGTATACGAAAAACTGCAGCCCCTGTTATGAACCCCTTTAAAGTATGTATCACTGTAAAGAGGCACTAATGCCCTCATTTGTGTCCATAGCTTACTGTCAAATTCTTCTGCTGAAACTGTACCTGAAAAAAAAAATGAAATATTCCCTTCTCTAAGCATTAGCTATTATGAACAGCCAGCTTCAAAATACTCTTCTATACTTAGCATTCAGATCTGTCATTAAAAAATTACCATTTAACCTTGGTCCCCCTCTTCTTATCCTCACTTTCACAACTCTGTTCTTCCCCGATTTGTCTGCTTTTTCACAATTTAAGCTACGAGTGCTCCAATTGCTCTTTTGAAACTCTTTAGGCAGACTTCAGTTGAATACTAAATCAAACACACTTCTAATGAATTAGGCTTCTTAATGTAAATAAGATTAACAGTGCTAATAATCCAAACTCTAAGAATCAGTCAGAACAAAACTTTCTTTTGCGTGATCCTTACAGATTTCACAGCTTTTAAGAACAACCGTAAGTTTTTTTTTCCCTTCTTTTAATTTGTTATTCTTTCAAATATAAAATAATATAAAAAAAATATAAAATATGCGGAAAATAAAGCCTTACCATGCTATGCTATTTCCATTGTATTTGCTCAGCTTTTGTTTCTTATTTTATTCTACTTAGTCATTGTCTTGAGAACTATAATTAGATTTATTATCAGCTATAGATATAAGCACAGCCATGAGAAGTCAAGTTTTAAAGTCTGACTTTAATGACATGGATGTTGTTGTCTGATGTTAGAATCAAACAGCCAATGCTTCCTTCCCTTTAAACTTTGAATATACAAAATGTGATGCATCAATGCATCATTATTAGGTTCCTTTGTCTATGAACTAAATATATTGGTGGATTTCCGCTTACTGATTAGGCTATATATATATATGAGAAAAAAAAAGCCCTTCTTTATAAAGGTGCTCACTGTTTCTTGAAAGCAAATGGGTTCACATTATTATATATGAAGTCCAGCAAATCTGCGCACCTACTGTTAAAACTTCAGAACTTCAGTTATGCCTTTGAAGATGTATTCAAGAGACCTCAGATATAACAAGTGAGTTAACATGAGTGTTACAATATTAGATATAATCCATTACAGCCCAGTAGCCCTCTGTTATCCATGAGGGAGTTACATGACCTTCAATCTAACAAACTAGCTTGTTACTTGTAGCTTTTTACTGAAGAGCTAGACTATGGCGGCTTCCTTCCTTTCATTCCATACTTTGTTTGCTGATCTTTCTAACAAAATGATACAATAAATTCAAAATATGAACACAACTGCAACAACCACTTGTATCAATTGCTATTTTCTCCAGTATGGAAATCATCTGGTGTCTGATGTAGCACAAGGATTCCCACTGAATTAGAACTTGTATTGAGGTTACTACCAGGCTATATTAGTCCACAGGACATTCACATCAGATGACCTGAAGCCATTTAATGAAGTTTTTTTTCTCTTATTATTTCAATTCATATTTCCAAATACCAAGCAGAGAGAATCTACTTCTTAACCTAGCTCCACACTTGCAGCCAAATCACACAAGGTGGACCTGAGGAGGAATTTGTAGCAGTAAATGTTTCTGCAACACTCTCCTGTCAAATGACCAAACCAACTTGCCTCTCAAACTTTTAATCTTTCAGAGATACGGAGGAAAATATTCAATTAAATATGTTTAAAATGACTGCCTCCTGACTAGCATTTATGTGGACATAAATTGCAATAAAGATGAGAAGTAAAATCTACTTTCCACAACAGAATTTCTGTACCACCTATAGTCTCAAAACACACAGGATTTAAACTGCACAGGCTTTGGGCTTGCTGTCTACTCAGAAAGAGTTTATTCACAAATTTGTGTTTACTATCACGAGATGTATCAATCAAAAATAGCCAAAGGGAACTTACATTAGCCAAGCTGTCCCAAAGGTCCTTGCTCTTTGCATTTTTATAGCTGTACTTCTTTAAGTAATGATTTATCCCATTCCGAAATACCTCCTCAGTCAGAAAGTCCCTCAGCATATGCAGAATACAAGCCCCCTACACAAACAGATTGAACACAGCTAGATCAGCAGGTAAATTCTAGTCTCTCAACAGCTAGAGCTATATTGAAGAGCAACACAAAGCTACTAAAACAAGCAGATTTTTAATAGCTCTTCAAATTTTGGATAAATGGGGACTGAGATCAAGGCATAATCACTGTCTGTTTCACAGAGGAAATGTGTTTGTGATGAAGCTCAGAAAGCTCTGTGTGAAGTTCTTGGTGGCTGATAAAAGGATAATCAAGAGTTATCAGACTGACTCAAGAATGGGCAAATTGGTTTGAAATGGGTAAATTGGTCCTTGCCTAATACAAGGACTAGGGGAGGATGCAAGCTGGCTAAGGAAATAGTACAGGATTGATCAAGCAACATGACATTTGCGGCTACAAACCAATCTCATTGAAAAAAAAAATATGTGTGTGTATATATATATATATATACACACACACACACACATATATAAAATGACCGTTTGTTCTGTATGCAGCAGCAGACCAAAATTCAAATGCGTTTTTAAAGGTATGTTTTCCCTTCATATTTTAAGATATATGTCAACAAGCCAGTAAAAATAATCTCTGTTAAGGTGCTGCAGAAAGACTTGAAAGAACTTTATGAACAATGAAAGAACTTTATTTACTTATTTTGACTATCGTATAAGAGGATTTAATTGGAATGTTTTAAAGTATGGAAATTCCATATTCACTAGCATCCTCTTTCTTTCCTTCAGTGATCTGGAATGGTGTTTGTTCACAGCATGACAGAGTAAACTGTGAATATTTAACATCTCCAGATAAAAATCTGTATGCAATTTTAATGCCAACTTTTAAACAACATTTCCAGGTCAGATTTTCCTTTCACAGTATCTGCATATAAGCCAGTGTCATTGTGGTCATTTATAGTAGTCAAAAAAAAATGTAAAAATGTCCATTCAAAGTCCAGGTTCCATTATCTGGAAAAACACCCTTAAATGCAAAACCAACTCACCTTGTTATAAGAAATAGTATCAAACATTTCTTTAATCTGAGTTGGGTTTTCTGCTCTTGAAGATATTGGATGTGATGAGTTCACAGCATCCCTTCCCATTGCTGCAAAGCAGGTATCTAATAAATAATCATTCTGAGAAAATTTTCAAAACAGGTTATTTACAGATTAATTCACAAAGAAGCACACTGAATTACAACACTCAGCAAATTTTCATCTGTTATACTGACCACTTGCAACTCAGGATATGTAGCATCAACAGATATGAATTCCATGTATCTTGCAAACCCCTCGTTCAGCCAGATGTCATTCCACCATTCCATGGTGACTAGATTACCAAACCACTGAAATAGATTTACACACATATTCATGAGTAACTAAAGAGAGTACAAAGGATTTAAAGCAGCCTTTGCTGGCTGTAACAGCTGTGTCTGTGTGTGTGTGTCTGTGTGTAGGTACGCGCGCACACTGTGTGCAAATATTTCTGCCAAGAGAATCAGAAAAACTACTTCGTACAACTAATAACAAAACTATAAAGTCCAATGAAGAGTGGATAACTCTTCTCTGCTATACAGGGCAGGGAAAACCTTGACCGAATCTGTTCGGTGCTCACTCCTATGCAGTAGATTATCACATCAGTCTTAGCTGTGGCTTCTCCCTGCTCTGCTCCAGGATACTATCTTGGGTACAGTACAACATTCAGAAAGTCAGTAGAGGAAGAGCACCTGAAATTCTCAAAATGAAGGATGATACAGGGAACAACTGCCCTAGAAGACATAAAACCTCTCAAATCAATTCTGTCTTCACAAACCCCAGGCATAAGAGGACCAAAAGAATGATAGAATGATTTCAGCCAAGTGTACTAGAGTGAGCCCAATCTTCTGCTCAAAAAGAGAGGGGAGAAAAAAAAAAAAAAAAAAAAAAAAAAAAAAAAAAAAAAAAAAAAGCATTAGGGCTGCATCAAGGATTAGGCTGGCCAACCTGCACCCTTTAACTTACCAATCTAAGTAGTGATCTTAGGGCCAGTGAGACTATCATCAAGAACAGTCTGAGAGAATTTTGCCAAAGTATAGGGATATGCTATTGGGACTATTTTCAAGAGGTAGCTAGTAAGAGAGATATCTATTTTTAGGCTCACTTAGAGCTCTGTCTGCAATAATTTATTTATCTATATTAGCTATCACAGCACAGTATATAATTATAGACAATTATTAGCTATGATAGCTAACAGGCCTATACTTAACAACTAGAGCAATTAGAAACTTAAAGATAATCTACAAATTAACAGAAAACTCCTTTTTTAGGCTCAGTGTGATTTTTGGTATGTTGTCACTAGCTGTCAAATGTTCTGAAGTGTGGTATTAAGTTCCTAATTTCACTTCACACTTTATTTCTTCAGTAACCACTCATAAGTGACAAGTACTTCACAGATGGTTCTTCATGGACATGCATACTTCGTGTTATCTACTGTGGTAGAAAAAGGCTGTCATCCCTAGGAGTGTGCTGAGCCAAGAGAAGGAAAGGCTGGATTCATTTCCTTCCTGTATTTTATCATCCACAAAGGAAAGATGAAGTATAGTTACCTAAGTACTGTGAATCAATGGATGCAGAGATCATTCCTCAAAACAAAAACCAATTGTTTTATAACCAATACTATACATAATACCAGGTCCTAATAAACCACATATTATGAATTATCAAAAATTGACAACCTGATGGGCCAGTTCATGTGCTACCACCAGAGTCACCCAAAGTTTGTCAGAAGCCGAAGATGTTTCAGGATCATAAAGCAGAGAAGTCTCTCTGTATGTAGTCAGGCCCCAGTTTTCCATAGCTCCTGACTGGAAGTCAGGGACAGCAACAAGATCTGGGGAAAATAAACAAACAAACAAGTTACCTATTTTGATACGTAGAAGTCCAGTATCATTGCTTTGTTCTAGTAAACAACTGAATAAAAATGTCCCCACTAATGGCCTGATTTGGTGCCTCTTGGATTCAGCATGAATCTAGTAACAGGAATGGAGCTGGTCCAGACCCACTATGACCTCAGTAAAACAGTAACATGCAAAAATAATGTAGTAACTTTGAATAACTTCAAGGAAATGATTTTCAAAGACGGAGGAATTATCTTGTCACTGTGTCACAGTGAATCTTCCATCAAAAATTCTGAAATGTAAAATGTTTTGCTGTGCAGTATCTGTGTATTACAAAGAAGCAAGAGTTACGCTAAAAGAAGCATCAACCTGTCATAGACTTTGGCTGTCATTTTTTTAAGAATCCTTATAATTCTCTATTGCTTAAGGATGTCATTTGCTCTCTGTCCCATTTCTAACATAAACCACACATTAGCAAGGCCCTTTGAAACAGAAAAAAAATCTCAAAAAGATTATAGCAGGAGTAAGAGAATATACATTACGTATTTCCTCACTTCCCTCATCTTTCTTGTCTGCTTTGTCTTTTTTTGTCTCAAAGTTCACTGTGATTGAGAAAATGCATCTTCACAATTTTAGTAATGAATTTCTTTTAGATAATACATAAATAACAAGTAGCAATAATGCTTTCAACATACTTTATCTCATATAACCTTACAGCAGGCAGAGTTATCAAATTATTTTCAACTCTTTACCTTGTTTTGGAAGTGGGTAAGAGATACCAAAATACTGCTCATAAAATTCTAGTATCTTGATAGCAACTTCCAGTGCATAGTGGGCTTGGGTCAGCTTCTCTGGATTAGCATATACAGACACCTGTTAGTTAAACAGAATTTCAGTAGTGGCTCAAGCACAACACTAAAAGTTGTTAAGAAGTTTTTCATCTAGTTTATCAGAAGGAACTACATCACATTCCTCTAGACAGATGAAAAATGTCTCCAGAATGTGCCTATAAAATAACAACATGCCTGTACATTCTCACTCACATTCTGTATCTTCAGTAACGCAGGCAAGCACCTGTGTGACCTTCTGAGTACAGTCTACATTTCTAACTACATTTGACTCCTAATTTTTCACCAAAGAAACTGATTACTTTGGAATGGTGTTATGCATAAACCAGTATAATCGACAGTTATGGTATGGTTAAATATCAGCCTTCTTTACTGTTCAGAGACAAAATAATGAAGGAGGAGAAATGGATAATTTATTTCAAAGTCTTAGAATACTGTTAAAGATCAAAAATAAGAGTTATATTTTTTTTGATATCTTGATTTCTTAGATTTTTGTTATGTGATCTCCTTTTCTCTCACATTCTTAGTTCTTTTCAAATCACCTTTTCATTTTTAGTCAGGATACTCTACCCCTCTCTGGCCAAGGAGGAAGGAAATTTATTTCTTCTGCTCCAGCTGAAAATGTTCCTTGACAATAGTTTACAACAGGATGTTCTGATACCAAATTATCACTTAATCTCTCAGTTGTTAAAGAAACAAGCTGATGGAATTTAAGTAAAGAGCATGGTAACAGATAACCAGCTGATTATAGCTACAAATTTACAAATTTTGTAGTTAAAAATTATGAAGCAGAGAAGACATTCCCTAACAATTTGTATCAGTGTTACAGTAATAACTTGCAATGGAGCTTGCTAAAACATACAGAATTTCTCTCTAAATGGCAGTTCACACATATATTCAGAGCTGTTCTTCCCATCTATTTTAAACTCAGAGTTCCATAATAATAATGTATGGCGATAGTACACAGCACATTTGCTCAATTCACATTTCTTTTAACTATAATTGACATTTCTTTTAACTATAACCTTGTGCTGTATTTACACCAGCGTGCAACTGTATTGATTTCAATGAGGATATTTTTGATTTACTTGAGTAATAATTTCTTGGCTTAAAATAACCAGTATTTTGAAAACTATTACAGAACAGACACGGAAGACCAAATACATTCACAGAAGCCAATAAATAGGATATGTACAATCACACCTGATTTATCCTGAAAGTTTTATAAACAAATGTCATTCATCTTCAAACCTACCACAATTCCTGATGAAGTTGTGCCACTGATTGACTGGAAATCACTAATTATAAATGCCACCAAATAGGTACTCATTTTAACAGTCTCTGCAAAATGATCTTCGAACAGATTGCTGCCTAGTTTCAAAGTCTTTAACTAGAGGGGATGGAAAAAGATACATATTATACACTGTTTTTCTTCTATATATTTAACTTTTCTTAAGTCACCTTTTAATTAGTTTAATGCAACAGTGCTCAACATAACATGAGAATCAACGAGAAAACAAACACAAAGCAAGTTTCCAAAGATAAGAGCTAATACACCATTTCATTTACTCCCTTGCATTTTTTTTCTGTGTGTTTAAAAGCCAACCACAGACAAAATTCAACACAATTTGACAAGTTGGGTCGTTAGATTTTTATTCTGCATCCTGTAAGTGTAGAAAGCTCCTGTAATTCAGAACACCACACTAGATATTTCTGCAACACTGCATAAAGGAGAGGGAAAAAAAAAAGAAAGAAATATCCTATTCTTTGCTAACAACTATTCTGTAAAATATATGTTACACTTAAAGGCCAGAGGGCATCACTACAGCCTATTAAATAACAAAGGCAATGAGAATATCCTTGTGTATATGACTAGAGATGCTACTAAAGGTATAAAAACAAACCTCCAATACCCTTCAATAGAGAATTCTTCATACTACTGACTTGTTGAATAACCTATATGAAGAATAGGTTCAGTCATTTATACCAAAATGTTATTTATACCAGTCTTTTATACCAATACTAGTCATATTATATCAATATACCATTATACTTTCCCAGCCATTAGGAAGTAGTAAGTGCTTTCTAATATTCAGAGTACTGGGCATAAAACAATCCTTTGCATGACACAGTAAATCTATAAACTCCACTCTACTAGGTTCATTAAAAAGGCATAGAAAGAGGTTAAAGGTTTTAAGATGAACTCCTCCACAGATCACCTTTGGCATATTAGATATTGCCACATGTTGCTCTTCTCTCCGAATCCTTATTGTATAACTGGCTTTAAAGGATGGTTCATCAAAACATGGGAATGCCATGCGGGCCGAAGTTGGTTCAAAATGAGTAGAAGCCAGCAATCTGGAAGAATAGAGAAAGCTTTTTTTTTTTTTTTTTTTTTCCTTCTTTTTCAAATAGAGTATTTTATCGTCTACCATAGCAACCGTAACTCAGCCACCATCAAATTAAATCCATTAAATAAAGCTTTTAGAAGAAACCTAAACTGCTATGCAAAAATGAAGCATTTCGAAGCATTTGATTCAGAAGGTACATTTCTATCAGAATTAGCTAAAAACACCATACACAGGTCCTCTGATCCTAAGGCAATCCAAATTGTGGTATTTTTACTCCTGCCATTTTTAAGATCTATTTATGACAGTTTCAAAAATAGCTAACGTGGTGACACACATGCAGTTATGCAGTTGGCTCCCTTTAGAGCTGATGGAAAGAACTGGCATCCTCCAAAGAATGATTAAATCCTGTTTTATTTAGGCATTCATAAAAAGGTATTTTCTCTTCAATGACTACAGAGAAATCCCAGATTCCTCAGTTTGATGCATCAGCTTGCACCATATGTGTAGCCCAACAAGTGTTCTTGCTGCTACTGCTTTTGCTTGACAGTAACATACAATCATATTAATGATCATATTTGTAAGGGAAGGGGCTACAGATGAAGCAAACATCGTATCATACTGTAGTCTATTGGTCTATCGTTGTCTCTCTTTGTCTCTCTAAATCCTTTCATTGATAATCTACTTATAATTCTAAATGATAAAAATAGCCATATGTAGATAATGCATATTTTGATATAACAGACATTTTACAATTCATCATTTGTAATATATGAAAACTTTTGATACACATGCAAATAAACAGCAATTTCTGTTTAGTCATAGTAATTCTTTTGTAATGTTACAATATTTTATGCAATCAATGAAAAATAAAATACTATTTTTACTAATGGTTTTAAAAATTAGATTTATCAAGAGAGTGGTGGCAAAATTGTTTCTGTGTTATATAAATGAACAAGTACAACTTTACGATTGTATGTGTAAGCCTTAGAAACTTATCTCTATTGCCACAGAAGTGGAAGCAATCCGTAAAATAAAGACAGGAAAATATAATATTACCTTATCAGAACACAAACCCTGGCACTTTTAAGTGCTTTTATTCACAAATATTCATGTAAGAAATTTTCTTGTGTGAAAACTTTAATATTCCCTGCTTACCTTGTTTGACCATTCCTGGTTTTGTAGGTGCTTTTATAGAACCCATAGAAGCCATCGGAAAGATTGGCAATATAGTTAATTGAAAGGAAATAATTCTTATCCACCTGAAGAGGTTCAGTGGTCAGAAAGGCAACTTGCTCATGTGGAGGATATTCTAAAACTTGTAGCTGTTTAACATCTGCTTGTCCCTTTCCATTTTCCTGTTCAATGAATGCTTTAGTGATTTCCAACTGTTTACTGTGCAAGACTACAGCTCTGCTTTCCTGCGTTACACTGATTTCAATCTTCACAGTGCCTGTGAATACTGATGAAGTCAGGTTGGGGTGGATGAGAAGATCATAGTGGACTGGAATTGTTGAGCCTGGAAGCCTTAGCTGGTTCCAAGGAAAAGGCTGCCCATTTGTTGATTCAGGGAAAGTTACATTCTTTTCTCCATTAAGAGAATAATTAATTCCAACCAAACTCAAAAGATACAGTAGTGACAACATTGCTATCAGTCAACAAAATGGGGTTTTTTTTTGGTGATTATTTTGCTTTTTTGGCACTGGTGCTTGTTCAGCATTTCGTTTTGGCTAATAAAAATGTCATGAAATATCTTCTGCAAATGAAAACTTCAGCAGAGTGCCTTGGATAAATTATCCTGAAAAAAAGAATGGCAGAAATAAGAATTCTTCAAACACAATCCAGGAATCTGCGGTGGGGCCTACCTTTATTTCTGTGTGTCCCTAAGAACAGTCTGCTTGTTCACAACAATTTCATCTATTGCTCTGTAGGGCCTAGTGTCACCTTTTTAAATACATCACACTCTTCAACAGTATATTCTGTTGGATGGAACTCTCCTATATTCAACAGTGCAATACTCAAAAGTATGCGCAACTATAAATGCTGTGGCACCGATTAGAATCTGATAAAATACCAGAGCAATTTACTGACATTTCAAACATTTTCTTGCCTCCGCAGTATTTGCGCATAGGGGGACAATATACGTAAACTTATAAATAAACGCAACAGTGTTTATGATTGCTCATAGCCTTCTAGTTACACTGTACGAACACCACAGGACGCTTTTCACCTGAGTGAGAACGGCAGTTCTGGAGAGCTTCTGATCCCTGACCATGTAACACTTTTAAGACTTTTACTTTCAAACCTTTTAACAATAAAATCACTCACCTTCCCAATTACGTACTCCAAGCACACCACATTCAAAAACTATTCAAACGTTATACCTGTTACAACAGCATCTGCAAGTATTAAGAGAAATGATGTTGCATGTTAAGAAGGAAATTAAGGAAAAACTGCACATATAAGGTTCTTTAGAGTACTAGAAGTGTTCTAGACTACTAGAAGAGAGTATTTTAAGCTTTTCAGAATAACGATTATTCTCTTCCTGAAGCTTTGCTACAGCCCTGAAAAAAAAACTCCCATGTGATCAAGTTCTAAAACACGGAAAGGGCTTCCTTACCGCTTAATCTTCCATTAAGAGAAAGAAATTACGCTCCTGCAGGGAGCCTTTAATGCCTGGTTTTGGCCAAGCCCTCGGTGGCTGTTGCTGAGCTCACCCGAATATAAAACCTCGCCAAAAGAACCCGAAATCGCCCCTGTTAGATAGCCAGCCCAAACGGCCCGCGGTTTGTTCTCACACAGAAAGATAAACACGCGCATTTTACCAGAAAAGTACCAAGTTCAACCAAGCTACGCTTAAAACTACCACCCGGCGGCGGGGAAGCCCGAGGCCGCGGGCCTGGGCTCCGTCCACCGCGCCTGCCCAGCCCAGCCCGCCCGGGGCGCCCTAACAGCCCTAACGGTCGCAACGGCCGCCGCTCCTACCCGTGCCGGCCGGCGCGATGGCGGAAGGGGCGCGGCGCGGCCCGCAGCGGCGCTTTCGCTTTCCCCTTCCCCTCCGCCTTCGCTTTCGCTTTGGCTGCGTGCGCGGGGCAGGTCCGCCCGCCTTGCCCCGCAGGGCCCCCCGCGTGCCCGCCCGCCCGCGCGTGGCGGCCTCTCCTCTGCGTGCGGGGAGTTCCCGTGGGGAATGGCCGCGGGGCGCCGCGCTCCGCCGCCACCCGGGCGCCTTCTGGCGCTCGTGGCGGCGCTGCTGGGCCTGGCGAGCGGCGGGCAGCGCGGCGGCCACGCGCCCTTCCCGTGGGGCGAGAGCAGGCTGCCCACGCACGTGGTGCCCCTGCACTACGACCTGCTCATCCACGCCAACCTCAGCACGCTGACCTTCTCCGGCGCAGCCCGAATCCGCGTGGCGGTCGCGCAGCAGACAGACTGGCTCGTCCTGCACAGCAAGCGCCTGCGCATCGCCCAGGCCGCCATCGAGGGCGAGGGCGAGGGCGGCCGTGCTGCGCGGGACGTGCAGGTTTTGGAGCACGAGGCCCGGGAGCAGGTGGCCCTGCGTGCCGCCGAGCCGCTGCGGGCCGGGCACAGCTACACGGTCAGCGTGCGCTACGCTGCCAACCTCTCCGAGGCTTTCCATGGCTTCTACAAAAGCACCTACAGGGGCCGGGATGGAGAGCTCAGGTAGCCTTTCCTGCATCTGTAGGTGTTAGCTCTTTGATATAAATGGCAGCTTTTAGAATTGCTTTTAGGATGTATTGTCGTTTATTTATTTCCTGCTTTACAATTGTCTTCTAGGATCCTATTCTGTTTAGAGAGCAAGTTGCATCAAGTTATGTTTATAGTTGGCTGTTCATCTTACAGAGACTGTCATCCTTTCATGGCAGTAATGAGATTCTTGATTGTGTGGCCTCAACAGGCCTTATTTTGCCAAAGAATCTGCTGATCACTCTGGCATGTGGTGAGAAGAAGAGGCAGGAAAGTTGCTGGGACCAAAACGGAGCATCTCTCATGTCTTATTCCACACCCCCTGGGGACTGCAGTCAAGAAATTTAGTTAGCCAACCTCAGCTGCCCACGAAAGATGGAGAAACAGTAATTCTTTACTTGACCTGCAAAAGTGTTTGGTAGCACCAATAGTTAATTTGTAAATATGAAATTATCCTTTTTTCCACGCATCAAAATGGTGAACATTGTGTATATGAAGACTGTGAGACTAAAAAACTTTTTCTTTTCTTTTTTTTCCCCCCTTTGATTATAGGGTACTTGCGTCCACACACTTTGAGCCAACAGCTGCACGAATGGCCTTCCCGTGTTTTGATGAACCCGCCTTCAAAGCCACATTTTCGATCAAGATTAGGAGGGAGCCAAAGCACCTTGCACTATCCAACATGCCACTTGTAAGTGGGTTTTTTTAAAGTTGCAAGGTCGCTAATCGACAGTGCAAAAGGAGAGCAGAATATCTAGGCAATAGCTGTTCATGGGAATTTGACCTAAACATCACTTTCATAAATTCTGTGAATTAGCACTCCTGGAGAAATGGATCACATTGATGAATAAAGGGCAGGTGCAAGTATTGCAGTTCACTATGGGTGAACATCTTCTAAGTCTGAACTGATTACCCAAGGCTCTATCTGTAATCAAGACAGCTGAAAGAGATACCTCTATCAGATTATTCATTTTGTCCTAAAATAGGTATCTCAGGTAACTGAATCACTCTCTGGAAGAGTTTGTTTCTTTCAGTTTAATAAACTACTATTGTGTAACACTAATTCTATTAATCTGCTAACAAACACTTAAGCAAAACTATAACATTAGATATATTCATGATTAATTTTAGCAGTGAATAGTACTCTGAAACATGGTGTGGGAAAGGTGGGTTTGTTTCCCCTATGTTTTTAAAATAGTCTTATTTATTTATTTATTTTTAGGTGAAAACCATTAATATATCTGCATCGCTTGTTGAGGACCATTTTGATACGAGTGTAAAGATGAGTACTTACTTGGTGGCCTTTATTGTTTCAGATTTTAAATCGGTCAGCAAAATAACTAGTCATGGAGTTAAGGTAACTTTGCCTCATTTTCTACAACCTTTATTGTAATAAAGCATGAATATATATGGTTTACTTTTCAGTTAAAACTTCAAGATATATAAAGCAAATAATTTAATGAAATGACAGAAACTGGATGATACTTACATTATAAGTTTTATTGGTTTCAGTTGTTTTGTGCTTGCTTTTTATATTTTTGTATGTATCACTAACTTTGTTTCATGTCAGATTATTTAATCAAATGCAAATTAAATACACTTTTCATAAGGGAGAACTGGAACTGAAATAATACTGTGCCAGCAGCTGATCAGTTCTTTAACATTACAGGGAATGGAAATTTCAGAGGTCCTTGAAGGGCATAATAGTTCTGGCAGACAAGTTTTAAAAAATGTATTTCTAATTTTGATCGTCATCTCTGGAAAAAAAAAGCATACTTGTGTAGCCTTTGCTATGAGAAATGTTAGATATATGTTCTCATGTCACTTGTTTATGATCATTTGAGTAAATATGGTAAAGAACAAATTTCATGAACTTCTGAGGCTGGTATTGAATTACTGCCTGCTTGTGTCCTATAGATTTCTGTATACACAGTACCAGACAAGATCCACCAAGCTGATTATGCTTTGGATGCAGCAGTAAAACTTTTAGACTTTTATGAAGATTATTTTAGTATTCCATATCCTTTACCTAAACAAGGTAAGTGTTAAGTCATTAATGTGTTATCGAAGAACATTATTAAGAACAGAAAACAAAATTGCACAAAGTGAATAATTTAGAACAATAAAACAGGGGCCAAGGTTAGTGTTTAGAAAGAAAGGCTATTTTTTGCTGACTGCTTCATATAATCCTGCAGTAGATTAAGAAGTTCCCCTGAGAACTAAAAATTATTGAATCTTCTTTTTTAAAAAAACTGGTTTTGCTATTAAGTTACAGAAGTGTGTGTGTGTGTGTGTGTGTGTGTGTGTGTGTGTGTGTGCTGAAGGTGGATGAAGGGAGCAAGTTCTTTACTGAATGCAACAGTACTAACAGTATTTTATTGTATTTCTAGATTTAGCAGCTATTCCTGATTTTGAGTCTGGTGCTATGGAGAACTGGGGATTGACCACGTACCGGGAATCTGCATTGCTGTATGACCCTGCAACGTCCTCGGTGTCCTCCAAATTGTTTATCACTATGATAATAGCCCATGAACTGGCTCATCAGGTGAGCAGTGGAATAGGAAGAAGCCAAGCTAATCTGTATCACTAAAATAAATGTTTCTTAAAGGTTAGCAACATACTGTAAGTTGAGTTTCATACAGGTCAGTAGCCGCGTTTGTAACAGACCTTGTATTTTAATTTCAGAAGTGCTGACATCTGTGACAAATTTAACTTTTGTTTCAGTGGTTTGGCAACCTAGTTACCATGGAGTGGTGGAATGACCTGTGGTTAAATGAAGGGTTTGCAAAGTTTATGGAGTTTGTGTCGGTCAGCGTTACCCACCCAGAACTGAGAGTCGTAAGTGGCGATTACTGTCTTTTCTTTTGTAAGCACCTTCTCAAACCCCTAATTTGTAGGGATACAGACTAGATGAGTTCCTCTTATGAATCATTTTAATTTAGCTTTAAAAAAGATTCTGTGATGTTAACTCTAAAGAATAAGAATGATGATTTAAAAATCTGTAAATATTTTCAGAAACTGATGGTGGAAGTTGCTGATTGCTATGAATATTCTTTTTAAACAATAGAGATCACTGAAAAATTTTCAAATTGCCACTAGAGTGGATTGAAAATAAGTAAATTGACCTTACCTCTTTTTTCGTTTCTCTGTTTTCTTTCCTAGTTTGCTTTATGATTTCTTTAGAATTTAGAAATAACAATCATTTTTGTCCCATTCTAGGAAGATTATTTCTTAGGCAAATGTTTTGATGCCATGGAAGTTGATGCGTTAAATTCATCACATCCCATGTCTACTCCTGTGGAAGATCCAGCTGAAATTTTAGAAATGTTTGATAATGTTTCATATGAAAAGGTAAAATACATAACTGCTGTTGATTCCAGTTGTGTTTTTGTCCTGCGCCATTGCATTGTACTGATTTCACCATGGGCTGATATATTGTGTTCATACCAAAGCTCAAAAAATAACAACAGATGCTTAAATAGATGGATTGTAAAGAATAATAATCATGAAATTCAAATTACTGTTTCAATATATATGACTAAGTCTAATTAAACATTAGTCAGAGAGAGATATAAAAGTAAACTGTTATGTGCATTGGTGGCCTTTCAGTTTTTTGGAAAGACTTATCTTGCCATCTAAGGAATATTTTTCTAAATACTTTGTGCCTTTTTTTCAGGGATCTTGTATATTAAATATGCTGAGGGACTACATGGCTGCTGATGTGTTTAAAGCTGGACTCAAGCAGTATCTGCAGAAATACAGCTATCAAAATGCAAAAAACGAAGATTTGTGGAACAGTATGACAAAGGCAGGTATTTTTTATTCCCGTATTTTCAAAGTTTGTAACTTCTCATGGGTAGTACTATCTCTGTAAATATATTACTGAAGACTGCGACCAGTGCTTCTGATTTATATTTAAAAAAATAGAGCAATGAGCAAGAATTTTTTTTCAGATTTGCCCTACTGTAGGTACTGATGAAAGCACATTAGAAGGTGATAACTTTTGCAGAAGAAACCAAGAATCACATTCAAATGCAGTAAGTGTCTGGCCTCTGTGTTGTTACTCTTTTCTTTTACACTGACATATGCACTTTCCAAAAGCATTCTTTATTACTTCAGCCCCTAAAGTGCTGCAATACAGATATGAAATTGTCTGCAAGAAGACAAAATCAAAACATTGTAATTCCTTATGTTCTACTCTCAGCTTCCCGCTGTAAAGCTTACAAATAGCCAGCAACTCTTCCAGAGTTCTTAGATGGTCATTTCTCTGCTGTTGTCCATGTGCTTCATCTTCCTGCTCTTCTTGGGTATCTTTTTTTCCCTTGCTAAAATGCAGCACTGGACCAAAAGAGACACTCTTGATGTGAGGGCCATGATGAACACTTGGACACTGCAGAAGGGTTTTCCCCTCGTAACTGTCACTGTGAGAGGAAAGAATGTCCATCTGCAGCAGGAGCGCTACAGGAAGGAAGTGGATTCTCCTCTGCCCTCAGAGTAAGCAAAACAGGAGAAAAAACTGAAATAAACAGATGTGTCTGGTTCTGCACTGGAATCGGAGATGCATCTCTCTGCTTCTGTGCTGCCAACGAAAGGCATTCCTCAGCTTTTAGACTAATGCAAGTTGAATAAGGTTTCATGAAGCTCTGTCATAAAACAAAGCCCTTCTTTTTTCCAGTAGGTACTTGTGGCACATTCCACTAACCTACATTACCAGTAAATCTGACATTGTTCAAAGATTTTTGATGACAACTAAAACAGGTAATTGCCTTTTACAGTGATTAATTTATTCAGATTTTATTTGCAAGTCTTTTAGAGCCACAGCGTCTTTTGCAGAATGGGGAAGTGGAAATGCTAGGGCAAGATAAATACTTTCCTTTGTCATCACTATGTCAACAGCATCACTAAAAGAATCTCTTAATATAGTCAGAAATTGTGTTACAGTTTTCTTTAAACTCCTGGAATGAGAGTAAGAGTATTTGTTACTACATTACATTACAGTGTGTTTGAATTGCAAATAAAGAGAGGGTTTTTTGTTTATTTGTTTTGGTAGATGTCTTCATCCTTCCAAAAGAAGTAGAATGGATTAAATTCAATGTTGGCATGAATGGATATTATATTGTGCACTATGAAGATGATGGATGGGATCGTCTGATTAACCTTTTGAAAGAGAACCATACGGCGATCAGCAGCAACGACAGGGCAAGTCTCATTAACAATGTCTTCCAGCTTGTGAGGTAAGGCCTTCTGTCTAAGTCCGTAAAAATGAGATCTCTGCATTTCTTAATATGCATCACTGAAGCAGGAAATGCTGATAATATATATTATTCAAATATATATTACATTATTCATTAAATCTGTTAAATAAACTGAGAGCAATTTCTCGCTTCTAGCAATGTAAACTCAGAATTTCTCTTTGATTGCAGTGGAGTTATTCAATCCTAGTAAATAAAATAGGTGATAATCTCAGTGTTTGGGCTCTTGTTTTTGAAAAGGGAGGCTTCGAACACAAAATGTTGTGTTTTCTGTGAAATGTAACATATAGTATGTTAATTTAGTGCTTTTAAATTCTAGTGTTTTAATTCAAACACTGGAATTCTAACACTCAATTTAACTAACTTTAACTAGATCTTATTTCTCTCATCTTCTTTAGAATAAAGAAAATGTCCATTTCCAAAGCTTTTGATCTAACTTTATACCTGAAACATGAGACAGAAATCATGCCTGTATTCCAAGGTATGCAGGAACTCATTCCCATATACAAGCTTATGGAGAGGAGGGACATGGATGACACAGCAAATCAATTAAAGGTAACGTATTAAATGTCCAGACCTCTCTGCCTCTATCCCGTAAAGTCCACTTTGAAACAGATCTTTATCATTACACTGTTTTTAGGAGTATATAGTCAATCTGTTCAGAGACCTAATCGACAGGCAGTCTTGGAACGATGACGGCTCGGTGCCGGAGCGAATGCTCAAGCACTCGCTGCTGCTCTTCGCCTGCGTGTGCGGCTACCAGCCCTGTGTGGACAAAGCACAAGAATATTTTGTGAAATGGCAGAAATCCAATGCAACCTTGAGGTCTGTATTGTAAAGAATACCATCCTTTCTGATATTCTGTATAGTGATAATAGAGCTAAGTTACTGAATGAGCTAAATATCAGGCTTTTCTGCAACCCAAAATCAGTCCTCGGTGTGTCTTATGGGCTTTAGCTTCCAAATTCCTTCCCAGCTCGACGTATGTTATATCCTCCGAACTAGCACATATTTTATGTGTTACTCCACTCCTTAGTTTATTGAAAATGTTCTGGAAAGAGAAAACAACACCTGACGATATTCCCTCATTTATATGCATGAGGATTGCCCTATGCCTGTTTTAGAAATAGGTCAATTACTGTTGGTGAATTTCCCCTGATTTTTATCTCTGGTCATGACACAAGAGCTCCCTGAAACACACTACGGAAGGTCTGTGAGCTTTTATGGGAAGGCCAGAGAAGACTGTATGAGTATCCAAATGGACCTAATAAAAGATGGTGATTGAAAAAATACAGAATATTAATGAAGAAATAAAAGGAATAATGAGTCTAGTGTTTTTGGAAGTCATTTGCAAGTCAGGAGCATTACTGAGATGCAGACCAAGGGGCCCCTGTCGTTTCCCAGCCACAGGGCTCACTTTCTAATGCCTGTGGTTAATAGGTGAGTATTTCTTAAGAAATAGTCTGTTACGCCAATTTACAGTAACACAGTTATGTTTCTACCTAAATATTCTTAAATAGACTCTGAAGTATGATATGGAGAATAACTTGGAACTCACTTTGTTGTAGCTTGCCAAGAGATGTGAAGACAGCCGTGTATGCTGTTGGAGCACAAACACCTGAAGGCTGGGATTTCCTCCTTAGTAAATACAGGCTGCATTCATTCAACCTCGAAAAAGATGCAATTGCTTTGGCTCTCAGCCTCAGCAAGAATAATGACAAACTTCAGTGGTGAGTAGAGTACTACTTATGAACAGAAATATGTTTGGAAGAAGAGGTGCAATTACTAAAAGTCTTCTTTAACAGCTTTTGAGCTTCAGGGTTTGTAAAATGCTTTACAGAATTAGTAAAGAAAGAGGAAGTAGCCTCACGGTTTCATTTCTGGCTTTTGGTTCCAGGAGTCAAGGTGCTTGCTCTTTGCAGTAGCAAATGCAGATAAAATGTAAGAAAGCAGCTATTCAGATCCCTTACCTTCACCTCTTCCAACTAACTGTAACTCTGTACATGAAAAATGGGAGTTACGGATGTGGCCAAGATGGATATTGTCAAAAGTTGGAACTAACTAACCCAACTAAAATGATTTAGAAATACAGATTTATATGACTGCAGAAAATACTAAGAGTACAGTTACTTGTCAGTGTTATCTACACCGATGTTTCCACTTCTGTTATTAATTCTTAGGTTAATGGATCAAGGTCTGCGTGGTGACATAATAAAAACACAGGATCTTCCATACATTATTGGCTTTGTTGCCAGAAACCCATCTGGTTATCATCTGGCTTGGAGATTTCTGAAGAACAAATGGGAAGAACTTGTACAAAAGTAAGGCTTTTTGTTGTTCTGCTCTCTCTACCCCTGAAGTTTCAATGAAAGTGTGCATTTTCTAAGTATGGGTGATTCTTCTTGCCAGGTTTGAACTCGGTTCACGCTCCATAGCCACCATTGTCAGCGCAGTGACAAATCAGTATTCCCTGAGGTCGCAGCTCCTCGAGGTACGTCCTTAGCTTAGCTGCTCTGGATTTTTACAGAAAGTTATAGGTTAACTGAAACAAACCTTGAATTGAATTTTACCCTCTTAAAGTGTGATCAGTGCTGAAATATCAAGATATTAACCTGCTCTTTCCTTGGCAAAGATAATAGCAATGAGGGGTTGGATTACTGAGAGCAGAGCAGTGTCAGTGGTAAGGGGAAACATGGCTTTTGTTTAAGCAATGGACTGAAAGCAGAATCCTACTGTGTCTGTCACACTGACTGTCAGACTGTTACACTTGTTGCTGTTAATATTTGCTACCCACTTTATAAAGTATTGAGAAAAATATGCTGAAAATGATTTTTAAAAAGTATTTCATTTGAACATGGACAAGAGAGAAAAGCTGAATGGCAACGATAAATCTACCAGATTACATTTTAAAATGTAATCTTGTATTTAGCTGTGAAATCAAGGGGAATTTTAGAATCTTGTCCTGGCAGTTAGAAGAGGGGGCAGAAAGAGTTGTTCTTCACTCACCCAAGCAAGTGAAGAGTGGGTTCAAAATTGAAAATTTCTTGCTGCTCTTCCTCTACATGCACTAACCCCCCTTGTGTTTTCATCAAATGTTCTTTCACCTTTTTATTCAACAGGTGAAAGATTTCTTCAATTCTCTGGACGAAAAAAGTTCACAGCTGCGTTGTGTCCAACAAGCTATTGAAACCATTGAAGACAACATAAGGTGGATGGATAGGAATTTTGAGGAAATTGAAACATGGCTACAAAACAAAAAACTATAAAACATTATTTACATTTGCCAAAAATAGCTGAAAAAGCACTGAAAACTCAGAAGTGGAGAGAGAACTAAATTTGTTTCTTTAAGTTTTCCAAGGCAGTCTAATCCTGATGGCCAGAACTTTTATGTTCCAAGCAATCCACAGTGCTGAAATAACCCTAGACTGCTTGTGGATCGTTTTACCAAGCAGCAGTTTTAAGAAAAAAAAAAAAGCAACTTTTATTGTCCAGTGGGCTAAGGGTGGCGGAGGTGATTACTGGATCTCTGAGATGTATTTATTTCTTCTGAAAAAGTAGAAAAGAGTTGTTACTTTTCTGCAAAGTCAAATGTTCCACCTGTGAATGCCTACCCTTCCTCTCTCTTTTTCACAAAGGCCCGGCTGCTTGCTTTATCTGATACTTAAGTAAACTCAAATTATAGAGCCAGAAACTCTAGAAAGAGGAAAGAAATTCTTGCTTTCCCTGGGCCTTTATCTTTGCAGTCTGTGGTGCAGGAAACTAATTGAAAAATATATATTAAGCATCCCAGACCTAGAAAATGAGTATCAATTCTAATGAACACTGCATATTTCAGAGTCAGTTTGGAAAGGGCTATGTCTATGCAAGGGTATTTTTAGTGTTTCAGGGCTGGAGGCAGCTGGTACCAGCTCCATCTCTGCCACGGTGCTGCAGAGCAGCTGCTGTGCCCTTCACTTGCCCTCATCCCAGCCTGCTCCACTACAGCAGCACAGCTGACGAGGGAAGAATTCCATTATGTTTTTATGTTAAGCTTCAGGAAATGGTGTGGAATTTTAAAAAAGCACTCATTTTTGATTAATAAGCAGTTTCAGCTAGAACTCCGAATGATCATTAGCCTGAGGTTAATTGCCGTAAGCAGAAAAATGATGATGACTATTGTGCCCCCAAAAGCTACAGAAAACTGAGCTGCATCCATGGGAGTTTCTTTTTTTTTTTTTCTTTTTTTTTCTCTTTCCCCCAAACAAGCTGAGCGTGACCTTCTCTGAATACTGAAATTGTAGAAATCCTGTAGCTAATAACCATTAAAGAAAATACCAAGTACCTATCACATGTGCCTATGCTGACCTGCTCTTCATTACCAAGTTTTGGTTCCATGGCTTTTCTTTTCTCTCCTGTTCTCTGTCCTTTTCCTCCTCGCTATCTCAAAGGGGTCAAAAGCGTCACTAAAAAGATTTAGGAAAAAAGAAGTAGGAGCACGAGCTTTTGCCAGCACCTTGTTCCCTATTCTCACAGCCAGAAAACACTAACTTAGGCACAGGCTGTTGAACACCTATTTTATTAGAGCTCAGAAAGACTTTTAACATCTGCTAATGACTGGCTAAAGTTCTGTCAGAATTGCAAGAAGCAATAGACAGGTGCACAATTAAACCAAATTTGTGTGTGTGTGTGTGTAAGTTTGAGAGATAATCAAGTCTTAGAGTAATTGATAACACACAGGAAGAGTTGAAAACCCAGTAGTTGAGGTATCACTGCTCTTTAAAAAATATTTTCACAGCAAACTTAAAAAAAAGCAAGTTAACAGAACATCCTTATTCATACCCTTCTAGATAAAATATTTTTGTGCATCAGTTTTTCACCCACTGTCTGTTCCTTTCTGTTGCTATTATCATCTGTTATGTGCAGTGTAATTTCCTACAATAACTCCTTCATTTTCACTTTGCAATTTTTCCAGCTACACATATTTGCAGAAAATTGCTGTTGGGCATTCCTATCCAAGACAGCTCCCCCATGCAATTCCCCAAATCCTTTTCTCTGTGTTGTTTTTTTATTATTATTTTTAAATAGAAGCAGCATTGATTATCAGATAAGTAGAGCCCCTGTAGCCCCCTCTCTAGAATTGTGACAAGGGGCTTTGTCACATTTCCTCATTAATGGTCAGCAAGTGAACTGCGTGAGCATTAATAAACTTTGAGAACTCTGAATACCATGAAGAACATGGGCTGAGAAAAACAGAAGTAGGTAATGTTGAACTTTTTATATACTTGGAAAATTCTAAGAGTTGCTAGCGGGGTTCATTAGCTCCATCAAAATAAAATGTTTCTTCAGTCCCTGAAGACTGATTGTTTATCATTTCTATACGATGTCATTCGTAAACATTGTGTTTGAACAAAATTTAATTGGAACTTCACAAGAAGTAACAACTTCATTCTGTTTCTGAAAACTCTTGTGCCATCTTCTAGTTCAGTCCTTCAGCTGCTTTGTGTCTGCAGCTAAGCCTGCTGCTACAGAACGGGATTCAATAATTGGGCCTAGTTAACTATTGTATAGCCTTGAAAAGCAAAGCGGAGAGAAAAGAAAGCTGGAGCTAGATCTTAACCCGACAATGAGGGACTATAGAGAGCCTCGATGACACATTTTGTTGATTTTTAAAAAGCTTTGTTCAATACCAACATGCTAATGCTCATTTTTTAAATTATTCCTCTTTTGGGAAAGGGTGGATGGGATGGGAAGGGTGGATGTTCCTCTTTTGCCTTTTATGGGGCTATTTAGACAATGAAGAAGCTGAAAGAAATGACAAATGTAATACATTTTAAAAACTTTATTAGTGTGACACAGGTTCTCAATACAGACCATTAAGAACAGTAAAACCTCTGAATACATCCTAAAATCTTTGGGCTGTCTCTGTCTGGAGTACTAGGTAATTTTGCTATCCTTACAGACACGGTCCCTAACATTACCCTCCTCTGTAAACAAGTGGTGCAGTAGCACACGTGTGTAAGGATGTGCAAAACCACATTTTACAAGTAATTCAGACAGAGGGAGACGAAGCGAGGAACTCGGCCCCTGAGGTGCCCGGAGCCCGTCCCCCTGCAGCAGCCTTGGGTGCCCGCGCTCCCGAGGAGCGGCTCCCGCGACGCTGCCAGTGCGGTGTGAACACAGGCCGCAGTGCAGCAACCTGCTCCGAGTTCCTCCTGAACCTCCCATTAAGGCTCCTGCACCTCCGTTTTCTCCCCACTTCCATGATAATAATGGTCTATGGTACTTGGTGATTTGCATTTGGATCAAGTCCTGAGACGCCTGGAAATACGAGATAACAGCACAGTTGCAATTTGAAGTAAACAAGCAAGACTCCTTCCCTAGTGGTTTCGGGGTCGTTGTTCTAGCCATGGTTAAGGCACCATCCAAAACGTATCTTTTCAATTAGATGCTCTGGAAGCATTTAAGTTACCAGTTTCTCATTGTTTAGATGTCCCCAGCTGATGGAGGGTTTCTCAGCAGCCGCTGCCTCGGAAGCGCAGCGTCCGGCCGGGCTGAGGACAGCTAAAGCTCGCTGCGCTCCACGATCCCTAATGCGTTCACTGCAATGTAACATAAAAATGCTAGCGCATACGTAGAAACTTGTCTGAGATTTACAGGCACTATGTGAAGATTATGTGCAAAAGTTTGCAATTTTTTTCTCTTTTGGCATTGCTATTAATTTATGAAATATATCTCTTACAAATATAAAGCATCCTTTCCCTCTCAGAACTGAAAAAAAAGCTATTTAACAGTAAGTTTTCTACTTTTGTAGAAAACTACAAAAATTCAAAATGCATCAGTACAATAAAATGAATGGCTAGGAAAAAAAAAAACTTCTAAAAGAAAACATGAAAGTCCTCCAGCAAATATCACTGTACAAAAAACACCCAGAATAACCACATGCTTTTTGCATCAGCATTTGTTCTTCAGGAATAATTATTCAGCAGCAGAAAGAAGACTTGGTATATCATTTGCCAAGATCCTGAAAGGGCAAAACACAAACAAATAAAAAACAGGAAAGAAATATTAAGTGAAGGAAGATAAGCATAAAAGACATTAGCTTGGAAAAAAATACCAAATAGATGTGAGAAGAATCATCAGAAATACATTCAAGGAGAGAAAGAAATCCCAGAAGTGGTAATATCAAAAGTTATTAAGGCTCCATCAAAGGTGATACTGCAGTAATACACAGTTTGTACAGTTTGCTATGACTTCCAGGAAGTGGTGAGTATGTGAGGCTGTTATTACCTATGCTTGCATTAACCATGAGATCAAGCTAAAAATAAAGATATATACAGTAATAGTGCAACAAATGTATAGAACAGCACTGTATTTAATCCAAAATCAGAATACTAAAACCTGCTATTCCCATCAGCTTAGCTGTATCTGTGTGTCTTTCGTTTTAAATATCTGTCCCAGACACTGCTCCAAAACTGGACACTGCCTGGCAGAGAAGTAATGAGATGAGGTCACTGTCGCACAGACAAAAATAATCAGTTGGGATAAGCTTGGTCTGATTTACTCTGCATAAAAACATCTTACCGAGGAAACATTCGGACTGTCACACCTTTGGAATATTTAAAGTTACATGCAGTGATGGAGATTTAGCCAAAGGAAGCAACTCTTTAATGACTGTGGGGACAAAAAGAGAACTAGAAAGCCTCTTTCTGCTTAGGATTCTCCAAAATGAAGTTTAAAATCATCCCAAGTATTTTCTCTAACCATGAGCCATCTGTGTTTTAGTGAGGACTTAACCTTAAACACACTTAGATAAAATCTCTTTATAGTAGTTCAGAGAATAGACAAGAACTCTCACCCGGTAATGTTAACGTTTAGCTTGTTTTCTGCTTCTCAGATTTGCTGCCGGAGGACTGTTCCCTTGCCTAAAGAGAAAAGGATACATGACATAGCTTAGTTCATAGTTTCTGACTAAAAGTTGGAATAAAGAAATTGATAGATACTCAGAGGAGGTCAAAGTTCAAACATAAATGTCATGGCCCTGAGAAAAATACTGATAATTCAGCAAGAGTATTTCCAAGTTTTCATTTATATTTATCTTCATTTTTCCTTCATTGCTTGTTTTATTTAAAAGCTGTGGCTGATCTCCTCATATCCTAATTCTTACATCATCTATCTTATGCTGTAACTCCAATCCACAATTGCCACTCAGAACTAAATTACAACTGAAAAAAAAAAGAAAAATAATACTAGAAAAGCCACGTGTCCTTCTGAACAGGAGTTAAAGATCTCCTAATTTTATCTCCAAAGCCCTGTAACCGCTCTGTTGTTACACAAAAGCAATGGGCAGCAACTTTACACACATAAATATATGTAAATACATATGTAAATATATATATTTTTATAAATAGAATGTATATATGTGTGTGTATATATATAAAAATTTGAATTTATATATCTATGTGTGTATATAGAGAGATTCTACCCTCTAATAACTTAACACAATTTCTAGCACAGATATGTTACCCATTGATTCAGATATCTGTCTCTGGATAGCTAGAGAACAACTTGATGGGAGAAGTTTCTTCACAAATCCATTTTTACCAAAATCCATTTCTGATCAGAAAGGAAAAAGGCAAGCACATTTTTAAAAGTATTTTTTTTAATAGAAGTTATCCACCTTCCTTTTCTACTAGATTCATCCTGCATAGCTATTTATGAATAATGTATAGGCTTTTATTCATTTTAAAAATTAAATTCTGATAAAAGTTGAGATAAAGAACCCTGACTTGCCCTCTGGTAAAGTGAACCTACCTTTTTAGGATCTTTGGGCTTTCTTTCCTCCTTCGCGCTTGGCTTAGCGCTGGTGTTTTTTCCGCTTTTGTTCTACACTCCAAGGAACAAAATAATTACAGTTACAAATAGATCAGAGACTTGCTGTAACTAATGATTTCTGATGTGCATTTTAAGGTGGGAGAGTTCAATTGCACATGTAATGATTTCCTTAATCCAAAGGAAGCTAGAACCTTGAGCCTCCTTTAATGCGAGGGAGCTCAAGGTACCAGAAAGCAAATGAAAATAATACACTTGATATATTTGGGCAGATTTTGTATCCAGTGCAAAGCAGTAATACTGCACCAGAAGATTTTGCTCCTAAAGTCACAACCAAATAAATTGCCCTATGCTGTATTTAAAGATGACGTTTCAAATGAGTAGTCTTAGCACTCGCTGTGCAAGTCATCTGTGGGTGCCATTGCTTACAGCAGATGGGTATCTCCCCCAACACGAAAGATGAAGAATTAGAGCTTTGCTTTGGTATAAGAAGCTACCATATGTTGCTGGGCATGGGATTGAGAAAGTACTGATTAAAATATGCCAGAAAACCAGCAATTACCAGGAGATTCATTGGAAATTTACAAAAAAATATACAGAAACACACCAAACAACTCTTCCTCAGGCAAAGAAGAAAGAATGTTTTGGAGGAGGAGATCAACAGATTGCACTGTGTGGGTGAATGTGAATCAGAACTAAAGTAGCTTTTTAAAGTTTCCAAACATTTTCATGTAGGAACCATTCAGCATTTGCAGTAACCTTATTGCTTATGAATAAAAGATATCAAGAAAAGGCCTGAGTTGCTACTGACTGGAAAGTACTAGAGCAATATTGTTCCAGGTATGAAAATGCCAATTTGTACTGTTCTGCAGTGGACAGGAGAGCTATTTAGGGACGGAATAATTTCCTCCTGGGAAATGCAGCCGATTCAAACTGTAGTTTCAAGGTTTTTCTTCTTCTTGTTTTCTGACAGAATTCCCTACTCAATTCACATCCAGCCTGTCTTATCTTTCCAGAAGACCCCAAATACCTCAAACCTCCCTCTCCCCAAATATTTAATAACTAAGAAGAAAATTCAACCTCTCACTAAGACAACCATTATATCTTGCCAGTACCTTCCAAAGAGGCCATCTTTAATATAAATTGTAAAGAAATGTAAAGAACATTCGTGGACTAGTGAATAAATGAGTAAATAAATATGTATACATTATATTTTGGAAGATGGCAGAAAATGTCCTACCTTTGAGTGCTGTGGTGTGGCAGGAGCCTTTGCACAGGTATCAAAGTCACCCGATAGAGCATCAATGGCTGCAGAGTCATCTGAAGGCTTCTGCAATAATTGTGATTCTTAGTCAGACAATATGCACTGCTTCCTGACAGCCAATTATTTTTTTTCAGGTATTTAAATCTGGTTTAATTATCCTTTTCTTAATAAAATATCCCATAGTTCTACAAATACGTTAAAACAAAAGTGTCTATTTGATGTTTCCAATGTATGGAAGTTTTGAATACTGGATCTGAATACTTGGATTATAATGTGTTATTCACAAAACCCATACTTATTATGAAGCATTAGTCTTAAGAAAATTTTTTACTGTCCACACTGCCAGGGTTACCCACTGCATTCAGTAATATTCATGAGAATTTGCAGTAAATCAGGACTTGAGTCCACAGGATGGAACAAATACAGCACAAGAATATAATGGGCTTTACCTTTTTTTCCTTGGATTTCCCACCATCCTTTGCTGGTTTTCCTGGCTTTCCTGGTTTATCCTTGAAAAGAAGAAAGATTTTACCCTCTTTTTGAGCTGGTCAGATTACATTGGGAATTTACAGAAGAAAAGAAAGAAAGCAAACATACAACCTGAACTAATTAGTTTCTGAACTAATTTATTTCTATTTACTATGTGACTATCTCAAAGCCATTGATCTCTCCTGATAATCATATTTCTACTGAAAAAATAGTTTCATGCCTTAGTTTCATAATTTCATGAGGGACAAGATTAAGGGACTATCAGTGACTCATTACAGTGAATGCCAGTGCATGGCTCTAAGTGCTTCATGTATGTAGAGCTATTTTGAACAAGCATCTCTATCCACAGTGTGCAAAATGTCCTGTTTACCATAACACCAGACTTTTGAAGCGGGTCTCCTTGCTTGTTTACCTGCGTTTCCTGAGCACCTACACCACTCTGCCTAACTGGAACATCTGCTGTTCTATCTCCAGCTTCTGCTGACTGCGTTTGATTGCTTCAAAGTGCTTACTTGTTCAGACTACCCATTTGAGAAGAAAGAAAGAGCCCAAATCTAGATCTGTTGCTTTTTGTCCTTTTTCTCTTTGCCTAAATCAAACATATACAGTTACCTGAAGAACTGTTCTAAATATACACGCTCAACTCTAATATATAAATATTTACTTAGCAACACTGTTCTCCTGTGAATTATAGGAACAGCAAGATTGGCTCCTATGTACAAACTTCTAGAACTGCGATCAGAGTGCTAAACAAAAAAAAACCAAAGCTTTGGCTTACTTGTTCGCCCGACTCCAGAAGTTTCCGAGCGTCTGGTGGGATAGTATCCTCTCTTTCTCCTAGTTTGTCTCTGTGCTCAGATTTAGCCTTTTCCTGAAAGTATTTCAACAGCTTTAAGATACTACTAAGCAACTGCAATAGTTACAGGTTGCTTTTCTCTGTTATGTGTGATATCCATGTTTGACAAATTAGCTGAAACGAACATGAGGACAGCAACCTTTTCAGCAACTAGGATTTCAGATTTACTGCAAGTAACCACTCTGCCAGGAAGAGCGCATTAAATTGCTAAACTAAAAGTGACAACCAAATGGCTGGTTGTCAACGGCTGCACGCATTTAATACGCTAGTTGTACATATACAGCATATACAGCTGCACATACAACAACAGCACAAAGTAACAAGACATGTTACGTCAACTGGCAGTTCTGCTTTCCAGTGACACGACTGAAAAACCTTACTCTGTGCTCCCATGATGAACCTCACCCATGCACTGCAGCAGCTTAACAAACTGCATGTTCTTACGATGTCTTAGCTGGGATTGTGCCTGTCTGTGGTACAAATTAAATTCACTGCACTCCGCTATACAGTGTATTACCACTACCATGCACAGATGCATCTGATTTTCTTCGTAATTTGAGTTTAGTAGAAGTTTTCCACATTTTTCAGCTAAGCACACATTATTGCTCCAGTCAGCCCTCATGCTTAATGGGATGATTAAATTAAGGCATTTACATAAGGAGAAAGATTAAAATCAAAAAAAAAAAAAAAAAAAAAAAAAAAANAAAAAAAAAAAAAAAAAGGAATGAACAAGTGAAAGAACAGAACTGAATTAACACATCTCTTGATAAACTTGAATTTTCTAAGGCTATAAAATTCAACTAAGCTTGATAAAAAGACCATAAAATTCATTTTAGAAACATTGGAAGCAACCTGAAAATTATTTAAAATAATGACAGTAAAAAAACTGATGTCAAATTACTGCAAATTTCTCCCAACATTTCCATCACAGGTCTCACAAGGTCTGAGATATATTAATTATTCATAAAACTCAGAGTCCAGTTGATTTAAGACTGTATGCAGAGGAGTAAAAAAGCACTGACAAGTTTTCAGACTCTTCTATGTTTACAGTTCTCAGAATTAACCAGAAAATTGATTAATATAGCTACATAAGGTAAATAATAAGGTAAAATAATTAGTTGTCTTTTTTTCTAGTGATCTTAGTCCTGCATCTGAAAATTTGCTGCCACGTACTTCTATGAGAAATATTGTGGTACACTGTGAGAAACTACTTTAAAAAATAAAAATCCTTACAAATAAAGTAACTATCTCAGTTCACAAAGCCAGCACAAATTTCAGAACATCTTTATTACCTTTACTTTATCCACAATGGGTTTGTTCTCATCGGGATCAGGTTCTCTTTGTCCCAAGGAATCAGACAGCAGATCTAAGGCTTCATCCATCTCTTTTCCTCCCTAGCAGGGTATAAACATATTTGCAAAAGTAAATCAGGTGTAAAAATAATGTAGTTCATCAGTCTAGAATAAATACTGACTAATGAACTGTTAACTTCAGCAAACAGTGAACAATCAAGTCTACTTTAGTAATTGCTAGTAATTGCACAGCACTGATAATAGGTGGAAGAAATTTACAGGCCATTTAAATCTAGAGAACATATAATTTAAAGAAAGGATTTCAGAGTTAATTTTAATGCCTTTGTTACATGCCTTTGACACATAAGTCAAATTGATACAACGAAACAGTTCTACGAGATGACTGTGTCAGTCTGAATTCAAATTTTTATATTAAAGTTTGAAATTAAAATTTTTAAATGATTTTAAATGTAAAAAGTTTAATTGAATGAAAACTGAATTAAAAAAAAATTATCTTCAATACGTATGGTCTTCTGCCTCTGCTGTAAATTTTACCTAAACAATTCTTAGAGAGGAAAAAAAAAAAAAAAAAGGAGAATGAATGAAACAGGTAGTAGGATTTCCTTAGATTCACTTCTCTAATTAGGTTGAAAACACCAGAGGGAGCTCTCATCGTACAAATCAAGAAAGCAAGGCGCCTGCAACGCCAATGTCTCAATTGAAATTGAGGACAGCCCTCCTGATATTACAAAGGAGGTCATGAAGCTGCCTTTCCCATGGTCAACCTTGAACTCATTCTTTCATAGGCTGTCAAAGATGACCCACCAACACCCTATGCTAGCATTACTTGAAATGCTATCACCAGCTGACCACAAAAAGAATGGCCTGGTTTGACTATAGGCCAACCTGCCTGAAAATGAAAACATTTGCAGGTAGATACAAAGTCATTTCAGAGATGAAACACACAAATCCACTCATGCCCTCTGTAATTGCGGAGGAATGAAACTACGTAGAGATGGGCACTTGCCCCAGGTTTTCCAAAGCAGGCTGAAACACACCAGTAAGCGATATTCAGACAAACACATGAAGCAGTCTTAATATTCAGCTGAACATCAAGATGAAATGGCCATAGACTCTCAAACTCTTCTTCTGAGAAAGCTTTTTCCCCCTCTCAACGGTCTGTATTAACGGTAAACGACTTAAAATTACAACACACACTACTAATAAAACCAGTCTGATCATTTCCCATTTCCCTTTATTTCCTACTCAAGTCAGAGAGATGAAGACCAAAAGAAAACGTTGCTTACAGAGGTAGAAGCTGGAGGAGCTGCCGAGTGCACTGAAGAAACTGTAGCAGCAGAGACAACTTCAGAGGAACCTGCAGATTTTTTACCCTTCTTGTTTTTCTGAAACAGGACACAACATTGTTGGTAGAAAAGAGCACAAAGAGAAGAAACAACTATGAAATCCCATGAAGATGAAACATAAAAAAGGCCTTAAAGTTTATTTCTGGGAGATTATTTTTCTTTGCAGCTCAGATAAAATCATTCCTGAGATGCACTGCACAATTACTGAGTATCTCAATTGATTCATGTGCAATTTTCTGTCTCAGCCAATGGGTCAAACCCCAGCTTAGTTGAAGTCAAGTGGAAAGACATGATGTAGGAGGTGCTACGATTTCTCTAAGCTTGTCTATATTCCTAAATAACACAAAATCCTGACTATTACGCATCGCTAATACAAGCAAATGGTTAAAAAAAAATAGGACAAGGAACTTATCTTCCCACCCCCATCTCCAATGAAAGCAGGAAAAAAAAAGTCACGTCATTGAAACAACGTGAAAATTAAACAGTAGATCAAAATCAAGTGTACTCACCTTTGTTGGTGTTGGTAATGGTGCAGAAGGGGCTGGAGAACAGGAAAATCCTTTTGTCAAACCCTCTACAAGATCTTTTTCACTCATAGGCTATAATTGAATAAAAAAAAAAAGAAATTAATCCTTTTTACCTGTTAAGAGTATTCGTTCAGTCACAAGACAAGAATTCTATGGTATATCTCTATTTTTAAAGTAGAGATTGGGAAACCTTATCTAATTAAGTAATTTACTGATAAAACAGTTATATGGATATCTACTTATTTACCTGAGATTTTTCTTCGGGTTTTGGCAAGAGTGGTTTGCCATCTTTATCCTACAGAAGACAAAGCCCTTCATGTTAAAAAGTCCTTAAACAACCACACAAATACAAGTATTCTGAGAGAATTCATAGCATGAGAACTACACCTTCAGCATTTACTGCTGTTATGCAAATTGTCATGCACAAATTCAGGTCCTGTGCTTTAAAAATATAGCTGAGTGATGAAAAGCAATCCCAAATGTAGGATTCCAAGCTCCTCTACTTAGTGTTTCAACTTCCACAGAAATGGCACGTTTTGTATATAAATTCCCAACTTCCACCTTTATATCAATATTCCTAGATGCTGAGAGCAGAAAGGCTGCATCCTCTCAGAGGGGCAGCTGTGGTAGGCGTTGTGTGAATCTGGGTAGACCTAAGCCACATGGTTGTGCCAAATAAGTCATGTGGTAATGCCTATAAAAATACCAAGCCGATGTGTTTTAGAGCAGGTATAAGCAATTACAATGTCCTAAGCAATTGTCTTAATTTTTCTTAAACACAGAAAGCTAATGAAAGACTCCCAGTGCGCTAATCTTAATCAAAATTATTTATGGGTAGATACCGGTACCTAATGAAAGGTGTCAGATACTTGGGAACTATAAACAATTTTTTTAACAGTATAAAAATGTCTGAAGTAAGCAAGAATATTCAATAACAAAATGGAGCCTCAGCTTCATCCATCTATACTGAAGAACAAAAGCAAGCAAACAAGCCAGCCTAATGCAGCACATTAATTACTTTGGCTTCTCTTGATCTATAGTCTGGAGGAATTGTTTCTTCATCTTCACCCAGTTTTTTGCGGTCTTCCTGTTTGGTTTTCTCCTAAGAGGGGAAAAAAAATCAACAAAAAAATTAGCATACTCCAACAGGAACGGATGTGAGCAAGTTTTGAATGTCTTCAGTCTACTGATTCTAATTGCCTTTTAAATTCAGTCTAACTGCCAAATGAAAATCTCAAGCAAATTAAAAGAACCCCCTTGAGAAGTGGATGTCTTCTGTTTTTTTCTCTGCCTGTTTCTTTCTGTATAAGTCAGGATTAACTCTAGTTTTCTCAGAAAAAATCCATGGAGTTAAGTAAATAGGCAAATACAGACCAGTAACAAAATAGCACTGTACCTCTGAGCCTTCATTCTTTCCTTGGTTTGAAATACAACAGCTATCTGGACTGCGTGCAACTAAAGGCTGAATAGAGAAATTGGTGGCCAGATTCATAAAGGAATAACCCCATACAAACCTCATTGGAAGAGGACAATTTAAAAAAAATGTAGGAAAGTGAATTTTGGACACTTTCTACTGACAGAGTATCAGTACACCAGGAGAGCGGTCCTCTGTTTTTCACTGCATTTGATATCATCTGACCCACGGTCTGGGGTTGCAAAAGGAAGCATTCAGAGTATGAACGGTATCCCATAACACAGAATAAAGATATTTTAAGATATGCTCTGTCTTAAAATTATACTGCCATTGAAAAAAAAATAAAATAAATATTTCCATATACTAGTCCTAATTTAAGCAACTCATCATAAGGTTGATTTCTTTTTTTAAAAAAAAGGGCTAAGCTGTGTACTATTTCTAATCTGCATTTTAGTTCTGCTTTGCCTCAGCATTAAGACAGTAAGCAGATGCAATTTTCAGACACTAGAGGGAGAATATGTATTACAATGTGAAAAACGATCAAGAAAATGCAAACTCTACAAGTACTTTCTAAGCAGAACAATTGGTTCACATGTACATTTTGTTTTAAAATAGTGAAAAAAACCTCTAAATTCTTTCGTCAGAGCAAATAAAACAGCCCTGAACACAACCACATCGAGAAGGTATTGTCTTGAATTCTGAGTTTTTTGCTACCTTGACTTTATCCACAGCAGGTTTCTTCTCTTCTGGATCAGGCTCCTTCTTTCCAAGACTCTTAGACAAGGCTTCTAACGCTTCATCTGCCTCATGACCAACCTGTAAGAATATTGAAACAGTCAAACAGAACCTTCAGTTGGGAATTCAGCTGCAGCTGAAGCAACATGCTCATACAGACACACCTGCAGGCACACATTAAATAAAAGCAAATATTGAGAAGAAAAAAAACTGTAATGTCTCTCTCCCCAGCTGTCTTCATATGTTTGGCATCTGCTCAGTTCAAGGTCTAAGGGAAATCTGAGAGACAACGGCTCCATTCTGCAGAATTTGTCTTGTATTGCAGCATTTATTGAGTTTGCAAACAGCATCTCTTTTAAAGCATTAAAGTCTAGAAAAAGTCTAGTATCTAGAAAAAAATCATGATGATTGCCAGTCTGACTTCCTCTATTAAAAAGAATAAAGGAATTCCCTGTTCAGTTTGTATTTGACTTCCTTGCTATTTGGAAAGCACTCAGCCTTTGCTGGGAATTGCCAGGTTTCAGAATTAAGCCATAGGAATCTGAAGAGGTCACCCAACTGGGGAGCCGGTCTGGTCAGCTGGCTCCAAAATTTCAACTGTGGCCCACATCTTAAATGACAAGACAGTAGCTTAGACTAAAAAATATATTTTGGACTTATCCTCATTCTATCAGGTAAGCAATTTGATGGTGTTCTGATTTTCTTTATTTACTCCTTCCTATCACAAACTGATACAGATTGGTTTAATTACACTAACTTCACTCAATTCTTTAACAATCAGGTTCTGCAACAAGATGTTTTCCTATTATGTCTGAGGCCAGTAAGGAAGACATGACTTCAGGTACCCAGTTCTCTTTGAAACATTGGCTTCATTCAAAAACCTCTGAGGAACAAATTCCCAGTAATTCTTGGGACATATAATAAATGTACTTCACATGTCGTTCGATAGGTAGCTCGTGCAATGGAGAGCACAAACAAATAAGTCAACAAACCACTTCTATTTGCTTAGCTATATGGAAAATATATGAAATGTCGAGCATCAAGTCAGTATAACCTTTGTCACCTTACTGCAAGAAGTGCCAGTGTGTTACAGACATCTAATTAACTCTGAAGAGGAAAATCACCCGTTACTTAAATAAGCTCTTTGAAAATATGCTACATCATTGCATTAAAAAAGCACTAGGTTTTCCTCTAGGACCAGATGAGACGGCCTACGACTCACTGAAGAAACCTTTGATGGAGCTGAAGCCTGGACTGTGCAAGCTGCGGCGCGAGGAACCACTTCATCCTTAGCAGTTTTTGCAGGCACAGGAGCTGAAGGCTTCTGAAATAAAATAAGTGCACTGAGTTTTATTGACTGTGCTAATAACCACAATGCAACTGTTGAATAACAAAGAAGAAACAAGAAAAAGAAAACGTCAATTTAAAGCTAAAAGTCCTTCAATTTAATATTACACCAGAGCTTTCAACAAAAGCGATATCTGAAATAGTGCGTATTTCACTGACAGCAAACAAAACAAACCCACAAAAAATAGAATAAAAGAAGAAAATACTTTTCGTGAAGCAGCAGCAGTATTATGTAGCCTCAGCAAAGTCACCAGGACCAACATTGTTACCAAAGGGAAGAGGCTTACCTCAGGCACGGTGCTGGCCTTCGATGGCTTGGCATGTACTGCAGGCTGCACAGGGCAGGCAAAGTCCTTTGAAAATTCGTCAGCAAGATCAGATTCACTCAAAGCCTGTAAAAAAAGTGACATATGTAGTAGGGGTGACTCAGTTTTTTTTTTTAATTATTTTTTTTTCTTCCCAAGGATTATCCTTTAACTTTTCAGAGGTAGACAAATTGTTGTAGCTTCTGCAGAAATAATCTTTCATTTTTATAGGCAAGACTGAATGAATTTCACAGCGTGCAAAGTCAGGAAAAAGCATGCTGTTTAGCTTGTGCAGTGCCTGCTGCCATTCAAGGGCTTTTACTGTGAATGTTGCAGGAAATGGCATATAAAATGGCTGATGCTCCTAGGCTCCTTCAAACCAATGTCTACATCTCCATGTAGAAGTCTTTTGTAGGAGGGATTTACTTTACTTGCAATGCACAGCCTACTTGGTTAAATTCCTGTTATGTAAAATGTCATTCCTAAAAAGAGTCTCTTATCACTTCTCCTCCACAATCTGTCAAGGTCCCTAAGTATCTATAAGAAGTCTCACATGAAGCTCCACTTTTCATGGCTACTGAGTAGTTCATTAAACCACTAAAAAAAATAAATAAATAAAATAAACAACAGAAAGAACACTTAAGAACACTTGAGCTTAACAACTTTATTCACAAAAGTAATTCCACTGCACATACTTAAAAGTATGTGTAATGGAAGGCTAAAAGAATATAAGGTCTAGAGGAAATCATAAGGATGAAGGATGAATTTTTATTCACCAGGGATCAGAAAGAAGGCACTGAAGGTTTTCAACTAGTAACATAACCTCATCCTGCTGCTTTTGACAAACACATCTTCCTTAACATTGCCTTCCCTAAATTGTAAATAGAGAAGCTAGTTCAGAAAAAAAATGCTTCTGTATATTTAAAATACCCCTGTGTTTCACTTACAGAACAAATAATCAATGACATTTATGTCTCAGTTTGATACTGGATAGAAAAGCATGGCAATATTTATTCTCCTGCTAATAGGTTAATTCTTTCCGTTCAAGGTCTCAACTCAGAGCTCAGCTCCCATTTTGATTTTGGATTTGACGTGACACAAATTAAGAATCAGCCCTCTCATGCTATGTTCATCTTCTAGAGGATTTTTATATACCTAAGTTTTACATATATATTTTGTGTCTCTGCCTCCCTGTCAACTGTCCCTGTCAAACTAGAGGGCTTACTATTTAAACATCAATACCTGGTTCCTTCAGAGCATAACTGCTCTCTCTTTTTATTTCTCTTATGCTATGTTTGGAAGGTGTTCTTCTGTGAAGTTGCTCACCCATCATCCATTCGGATGATTAAATGTCTAAGATCTGACAGACACAAATGTTTAAAGACCTAAAGTCTTTTATCATTGTCTTTGCATTTCTCCATATTTTAAATTTGAATAATACAGATGACATTTCTTTTTCAGATTTGGACTGACCTTCATGCTTGTTTCAGAAGAACACAGATTACTTGTACTTTTCCAGTACTTTTCCAAGTATTTTGATAGCACTCCTCATATTGAAAGGCTTCACTTTGGAAATATTTTATCTCTTCAGTGTGGGGTTTCTTTTTGTTTTTTTTTTCCTAATTTTTGCTTTCTTCCTGTTTATCTTTAATTAACCTTTATAACTCTCTCTTTCAACAGACTTTGCACTTTCTGGGCCATGCCAGGGATACTTCTTGCAAAGTTCTAGTGGTTCTCTGAGATTAGAAAAAGATCCACAGGAGCTTCTTCCTCCTTTCAGTTGTGTTCCTTATCATCTGATGATTAGAGGAAATGGTCAAGAAAACTGAAGATTTCCTTGTCTCATTTCTCTCTTTCCCTAGACAGTTTCAGCAGACTTGTACAGGGAACCTTACAATAACTTAATTACATTAACAGCCTTTCCTGTAACTCCACAAAGTCCAAATAGTTTCTTTTCTCCTCCTCTTTAATCACCATCAGTGAATTTCAGCAACAAGCTACACTTGAGAGCATTGGGCTTCATGCAAAGAAGTAAACACATAAGAACACGAAGAGACTTACATAATCGTAAAGACAGAAGTGATGACAGAGGGATAGAAAACAGGGTGTCTAGTCATACTTTTATAATACTGTCAGTTTTCTAACCTTAGGTATTTCTTCAGGTTTTGGTAATATAGGTTTTCCATCTTTATCCTAGAAGTGAAAAATATAAATACTGTTGATATCTTTTCATCTAAGAAGGTTTATGCTCTGCAGTCGCCAGCCCAATAATCTAAGTGACACAGTAACAGGGGCACCTACCCCTACAGAGATAATCCCTACGGGGCTTGCAAAGTGGGCAAGAAAACAACTCAAATGCCAGCAGGGTACAAAATGTGCCCAGAGTCTGAAAACACTGTTCATTACTGTATTTTCTTCTGGCAAAATACAGTATTGATATACATCAGAAATTAGTCCAGTAGGAAAGCAGGCCTTGAGTGCAAAAGATAAACTTTTGCATATGGACTAAAACAGGGTCAAATCCCAGATCCGTAGTAAGGTAGTCTTGAAATCTCAGAGAGAGGTAGAACTGCTCCACTCAAAACAAAATGTTAACATCCAGTTCCAGCAAGGTCAGTTATATAGCATCTTTGTTAAGAGCAATAAGAATAATCATGACAAAATCTTTTGCTTCTGAAAAACAAACAGGATGGCACTGAAAACAGTTTATTTTGGTTCATGTTGAAAAAATCCGCATCATGTCAAGTGACAGTATTTCAAGGCTAGATGCCAAAAGGATGCCCAAGAAAAGAACATGGGAGCTGGGAAATTTTGACATTTGCTGAGGACATCTGATAAATCAAATTACGCCCTCAAAGGAAGGGAAGAAACCCATAGATACAAAAATCACCAACGGGGAAAAGCTGCAGACTGAATAATATTACTGAATATTTTCCCACACATATATCCCCCATTAGTGACCAGAAAGGGTGAAGGAGAAAGTCCCCTATGTACAAGGCAATAGAAAGATGAAAACTTACCAACTCTGGTTTTAACCTGTGTTCTGGGGGTATTGTATCATCACGCTCTCCTTGCTTTTCTTCTTTCTTCTCTTTTGCTTTTACCTAAAGATAGAAATATTCACTTAGAGAAATTCACAGGAAGGTTTTAAAACACATGCAACTTTACTATCAAGATTATTCTGCCTATTCTGCCTTCTAATTTGAAGAAGTACTAGTATCATTTATATATATTTATATATATATAAACCCTCAGATTTCTCAATTTATTAATATCAAATTTATCTCCTAAAAATAATCTTTGATTAACAATCAATACAACCTCTAAATAAGACTATTATTTTAAATTCTAAACTACTGCAGACACTGTTTGGAGTGAGATTTCCTTGGCTTAAATCACCACTTTGACTATATAAGCTATAATGCTGAATCTTTGGTCTACCAGAGCTACTCAAAAGAACTGAAACAGGCAGGGTTACAAAGTCAAACAAAATTTAATTAAAAATCCAAAATTTATCATGCAAAGATAGGGTTACTGTTTAAGGTGACAGAGAGAATGACCAGAGCCAAAATAAGAAAAATAATGCAAATTGGTAGAACAAAGAAAACTTCCACCAGAAAATAAAAAGTTTCTTCAAAGAAAACCAACAGTAAATCTACAAAAGAAAAGCCTGTTACAATCTGTGCCCAAATACTTGGAGAAAAACAGAGGAACTGAAACAAACATGAAGAAAAGTATATATACATATGCATGCATAACTTCTCAAGAACAGATGACTATCTTCTATCCTAACTGCAAGCTCTTGGTTATTAATTTCTTGATTTTCTTAATCACATTAGGCTGGGACATTTCTTAGGACTTTGGTATCCAAATAACTTCTTTAAAAATTGTGTTACATGTTTGCATGATATGTAATCAGAAAGACACCATAACTCCATGAGGGGGTTACAAAAAAATCTTTAAAAGCAAATAAAGAAAATGTATACCTCTGACACCTCTACAATAGTGCTGAGATCTTCTTCAGGTTCCGGTTCGGGTTCACCAAGAGTATCAAGAAGAGCTTCCATTGCATCATCCTTGATTTCCTGTATTTAAGAAAACAGGTAAATTAGCTTATTTCCATAAAATGACACAGGCTTTATCTCATATGTCTTTCGTGCTGTACATGATGCTCATACAAACAGCCAATACCATATGGGTCATTTCTGCCTGACTTCCCCTGATTTTCTGAACATCAGACTGCAGCATATTGAAAATTCTGTGACTAAACCACTACAGACTCAAAATAAGTCTCCTCTTAAAGAAAGGGAAAAATCAGAAAGAAAAATATGGCACACTATAATCGCCATGTCCTTTGAGCTGGTAAAACTAAAAGGTACAAGCTTGTTTTGTCTCCAGAAAAAAAGATCTCTAAAACACAAGAAAACTAAATGATATCCATGTTTTAAGAGTCTCTTTTAAGAGTCTCATATAGGGGAGAAGAGAGAGAGAGAGAAAAAAAAAAAAAAAAAAANAAAAAAAAAAAAAAAAAAAAGCTCTATATGAGTTATCCTGAAGAAGAATACAGAAGCAGAATGATTTGACCCATTAAGGCCTGATTTTTAAGATGTAGAATGTCCTTGGAAGAGCCTAAGAAAGTGCATTTCCTACTATTCCACTACTGCCTGTGATAAACAGGATTTTCAACTAAAAATAAGTATGCAGGGTGTCTTCACAAGATCTGGCCCACATACTAATGCCTCTGCAAAATGTGAAATGCCTCTACAACCAGTGAATTTTAATTAGAAATTAATGGCAGAGACAGACTTATCCATACCTCTTTTGATTTTGTTTTCTTCTCCTTTGGAGGAGCAGAGCTTTTGACAGAACTTGCTGCTACTGCTTGAACGATCTCTCCTTCCTTGCTTGGCTTCTTTTATAAACAGGCCACATGACAAAATGAGAGATACAATTACATGGAAGTTTGCAAAAAAGAAATAAATAAAGAGAGGAAAAAAGAAAAAAAATGTCAAGATACCTTGAAAGTTACATATAAAGATAACAATGGCAATATTTTAAGCAATAAAGTTATGTACACAATATCAGTACCTCTGTCACTGTTTCCTTCTTTTCTTCAGTAGAAGCAGTGCTACAGGTAAAATCAGATGAAAGGGCATCTGCAAGCTCATCATCTGTCATTGGTTTCTGAGCAAGAAATTACAAACTAAGTTACGTTTCCTAAAATTCAAAACTCAATGCAGTCAAAAGTTAGTTTAAAATCTGAGCATGCTCCATGCCTGCTCACATAAGCACATGTTGCTGTTGCAATTCTGAGGTGTCACAATCAACAAACAAACAAACAAACAAATTCCCCTCTCATTTGCTGGTGCATTTTTTCTATGTTAAATTTTAAAACAGTGAAATTAAACTGGCTTACAGAACAATCTTGTTAATCAAAGAAATTCTGGTAGACTTTGCTAGAGATGTTACCAAGCTACTCCTAGCATAGCTACTATTTCCTACTTTACGCTTTTTATGCATAAAATATCAAGAAGCATTCGATTGAAAGGTTTCAGCTTCAGTCAGTGACCTGGAAATTTCCATTTCTTTATTAAAAAAGTGCTAAACTCTACTATTTTTAATAGTATTCATTTCATCTGTGAGGTCCAGGGGCCCCTCTCACTTTCTGGAAATTTTGATGGCAGAATACTTTTAAATTTTCTCAGGAATGCAATGCTAAGAATGATTTATTTTCACCCTTACCTCAGAAGGTTCATCTTTTTTTGGTGGAACTCCATCCTTGCTGTCCACTTTGCTCTAAAAGAGGAATTAATTTAGGATTTAGCTTTATGGTGAATGGCACAAAGGAAACAAAACAAACAAACAAAAAGGCCACAATATACAAAGACAAGAAGAAAACATGCACAAATAATTGTTCTGTTCACCTCACTTACCTTCAACAATTTAACATAGTCTGGAGGAAGACTACCTTCCCGCTTACCCAGTTCTTCTAAGTATTTTTTAGAAATATCTTCCTATGAAAATAATGCAGAGATTACTATTTTTATACTTTCATTTATGGAACAGCTTATTGTTTCTAATGTAGAGCTGTCTACAGTAACACATCTGGAAGAAAGCACAAGGACTGGGTAGGTCACAGGGCCAGTCCTGCAGACAGTATCATGCACTTCAACTAGCTTCAACATCTAGCAAAACTCCGCATCGCCACAGGCAGCTTCCTTTTGCAGTCATTTAAGTGATTGCAATGTCTCAGGTCATGGATTTAGATTGAATTTGATAGAGAATATAGATTGAATTTTAAATATTTATAAATTCTCAAGTTTTTGCAATGGGTGGAGGTTTTTACTTTTTGTAAATCTGTTAGATTTACAATCATGCTAACAAGACAGCGGAAAGAACAGTTAACTTTGACATGTCACTATTGCTACGTCAATATATAATCATTTCTGTATTACTACAAACAATAACAATGTTAAAATTCAATTATTTGAATCCTATTTTACTTATTGACAAACCAAAGTGACAGTCACTGAATCAATGTAATAGTGAGGAATTCTACATATATTTCAGAGATGAATCTACTAAATAGAAGAAAAAAATATATACAGATATAAAATACCGTAAGCTCTGGACCAGTGTAAACTGGACCAGCAGGTGCATCTTCCTCAGGTCCACCTAGAGTATCTATTAGGCTGTCCAGTGCAGACTCATCCATAGCAGGCTACAAAATAAGCAAAGGGTTACAGAAATTGTTATTCTGTGCAAAGAAAATCAAGACCTGAGTCATGTGGGGAGTTTGTAGAGAACTCCAGGAAAAGAAAACCAAAAGCTTGTTCCACTGTTTTCAGCCAGACTTGCTCTAAAACTTCTTCCTCAACGTCATTAACAAAATTATTAACCTATGTTTACAGACACATAATTGAAAATGAAATCTAATCAGCTTTTTGTTGACAGCATTACTAGATGCTGTAAAAAGTGAGCCTAAGCAAGTCCTAAGTAAATAAAACATGAGTGGCATGCCCATATTCCGTTAGGTATTCCCACAGGTATTTCCTTCACCACCGTACATAACTAGTACCACCATACATAACTACTGTACAGGAATACTTCAACAATTGCCACTTTAGTTTCTTTAAAGGGTCAAATGGACAAAACTGAAGTGCTGCAGACAGGCATTTTCACAAGGGAAGAGTTTTTCTGGGGCTATATTTACCTCAGTGCTCGACTCAACAGCTGTAGTAGCCACACTTGCAGGTGCAGTTGGTGCTGGTGCAGTTGCAACAGCTGTAGCACCTGATACAGACTTATTTTCAGACTTAGCCTGGAGAAAAAAGAGAAAAAAGTATGAGACAACTTTATTGGATGATCTTATGTCAAAAAATCTTGAAACAGAACTAAATAAAATGGAGATGTTCCAGTCAGGTAGGTGTAAGCTGTTTCTGTTCACCTATGCTTCCACCAGAGCAGATAAAGGTGAGTTCTACCTACTGGCTGAGTGGTCGGAAAGCTGGGTAGCCACAATTTGCTTGGTAATATCAAGCCTAAGATGAAAAGTCCAACTTGGAGGCTGCATGTCTATATGTCTTTGGACTCAGAAATAGGATAATAAACCTGCAGAGCTTCCAGGAGCTTGGGCAGAGCGAGCTCACCACTTACAGGAAATAATATGTAGATACGTTCTGCTTCCAGCATGATTCTGCTGTGAAAAAGCAGCACACAGTTTTGACAACTTTACCTCTTTCTTTTATTTGGACAGTAAAAGAAATCTGTAGTGCAAAAGGATTATGGGGCCCTTTCTGAGCCTCTTTAGAAAGCTTTCATTCACATCTGAATTAGTTCAAAGTTCTCAATACACCATTAATATGAACAACAGATACAGCTCAGATAGACTGACTATTGCTTCAGAGAGTCAAGTGCATGCTAGGAGCACCAAACAATGCAGATTTCTTTCAACATTACTGACATTCTCATTTGCTGATAAGAAGATGAGAGTTGTAGTAGGACTGCACAAGTCCTCCATCCCCTGTGGCCTCGTTACTCAGACACACACAGATCAGATGTCTAAAGGTCCAGACTGGAACTCTGCTACATGTTTTTCCACCAGCTTTTTATCCTGCACACTCCTCTGAAATTATCCCCTCCTTACCCCTTTCTCTAACCTTTCTCTTCCCAGTTTTGTTCAGAGTCTGGCAGTCAGGGAAGATGGACTGCCCACTGCAAGCTGCTAGATGATGTGGCTTTCCACATTCAGAGGAGACATTGTGATTACAATACATCACCCAAACATCCCACAGTTCAACTACAGCAGTGCTCATAACAATTAAAAACAGATAAAAACAGATAAATAAAAATAATTTAAAAAAAATCCTATCTGTTCACCTTACAGTAGTTAAAATGGCAAAGGAAAAACTGCAAAGAGTCAGCTATACCCAACTATTTGCAAGGAAATTGGAAAAAAGTTTGTATGAATGGCAGAGCATCCCCAAACACGCAATACATGTTAGAGGCTTAAGCAAGCCTATAACTAAAGTAAGAATCCTAATGTGATTTGTTTGGCTAAGAGCCAGAAGAGTTAATTAAAAAAAAAGGATGTGTGATGAAGACAAAAGGTGGATGCACATCAGGATCAGCAACCTGTATCCAATGATCTTATGACTGGACTCCATAATCTTGAAGATCTTTTCCAGTCATAAAGATTCTATGATTCTAGTTACTGCAAAGTACCTGCATCAACTGGCTGTGCAGCTTTATCTACAGCTGATGCTTACTGTTGTTAATAATTATTAATACCATCACAAGTAAGCAGGAAATGGTAAAAAAAACATCGGCATGTTTTTTATAGTAGGCAAACTCTAAAGTTTCTAAAGCCTGAAATTTTGGAGCAGCATGGAAGGAAAGGAGGTGCATGGTATACACACCTTTAAAAACAGCACAGTTTCACAGTTTTTCTACATTGTGATTTCTCTGGCCCAAGCTGGTTTTACAACATCCAGCATAAGAGAAACTTGTTTTAGATTTCCCTCCCCTTAAGTTATGTATTCCTTAACAATGTAAGTAATAAAAAACAAATTGCTACTTTTACTATACCTTTGCTATTTCTATGGAGGTTGGTTGGGAGGGCTGTTCAGTTTGACTTGTAGTTTCTTTTCCTGCATTATTGGTTTTAGAAGCTGTTGTCACAGAAGGTCCAATTAGTTCTTTTCCCTGCAGAGAGATACACATATTGCTACTAGGTATTTCTGGGTCTATTGTTTATTTGTTTTTAACAAAAGAGAGAAATAAGAAAAATAACACAGGAAACTCCCAGAGGGGGGAAAAAAAAAAAAAAAAAAAAACCTTACATCACTGATTTCTTTTTGCTTCCCTTCAGTTGGCTGTTTAGTTTGAGAGTCTGTTGTCTGTTTAGCTTGAGAGTCTGTTGGCTGTCATTAAAAAAAAAAAAAAAAAGAGATCATTTATCCTTACCACCACTCACTGCACTAGAATAGGATCTAGAATAGTTCAAATATATCTACAAATAAAGTGTCTGACTTCCAGTAAATCATCAGATGGGAAATAATATTCCCTGTCATCTAGGGAAACTAAGTAAACTCAGGACACAAAAAGGAAGGTGCACTTCCTGCCTAGAGTACACACTCTGAAGTGGACAATCCTTTGGGTATTTATCTACACAGGTTTAACAGAAAAGGTGAAAGTCAAGGTTGTATCACTGCAGCTGTGCTTTGAAAATGAGAGGGTCTTTTAAGGAGCGCTTATATTACTTTATTTTTAGCCAGCTATGCAAACCCCTCCCTCCCTGACACACACATGCAGTTTTAGAGAAGGCAGTAATAATTTATCTTTCAAACTATATTCACAGGAGAAGTGAAGTCACAGTTCACATTTATCTAGAGAAGCTGGCACACACACAGCCATGCCTAGAAACAATGTGAGGAGGAAAAACCTGCATGCAGCACTTTCTACTAGACACTTATCCTTAATGGTATTTTATATTATGTTTTTAGCCAGTCAAAAGTGAAATGGCAATCAAACTTCTACTTTTGTGCCATGGCTCCCTACCTCCTCCCTTGCTTGCATGCTTTGCATTTGGAGAGGTTTTTTGTTTGCTGGGGAAAGGAGGTTGCTTGCTTTCACTTAAGATGATTTCTTTCCTCTTTAAAAGCTCCTGATAAGTTTTTCTGTTTTCTGTGAGTGTAAGTAAGGAAAAAAGTGGTAAAAAGCAGGGGGAAAAGAGCTTCAATATTCCTTAAAATATATCAGTCAGTTTGAGTTCCTGACAAATAAGGAAAAAAAGTGCATGATAGCAAGTGACAGAGGAAAGACCCAGAGCCTGCAATTGATACCTGGGCAGATTCTACATCATGTCTCAGATAACTATCCAGAAAAAATTTAAGAACTCTTCCCTCCCCCTGCTTCTTCCTACACGTGCTTAAGCTCAGTAAGTGGCACAGGAGCTGGCTGTACATCTGACTTATTAAGGAGCTGCAAAGCACTGAGGCTCCCTGGCTGGGCTCCCCCTGCCTGTCCCCACGCCACCAGCTCGCGGGCTCTTCCGCACACAGCTGTGTGCATCTCCATCCACGGAGCAGCTCGTGCGGGCGGCTCTTCCGCACACAGCTGTGTGCATCTCCATCCACG